CAAAGAAGGACCAAAGACCCTACCGTGCCAACTACCTACCTTCCTCTAGTACACCACATTATTGGCGGTTCTTCGTTCATACTCGAACACCCAAACTTGCAAACGAAGGGAGGCCGCCTCCTCCTCTCTGCATTAGACAATCGTACCTTGCTCTAGCCGAATATTCTCCACGGCGGCAAGACTGACTCCATCTCCAGCGCATCATGAATGGAGCAAGACTGGCTGACGATCCTGACTAGCTAACCTTAACACGTAATCGTGCGCATGCGAAATGGTAAGTATGGAAAATGTAATTGGGTATCTCTTAGGCGCGAAACGTAAAAAGAGGAGCCTATCCACCTGCAGGCACGCCAGGTCCAGTTGCAATGCAGAATGTCGTCTATTCAATCGTACGTAAATTACCGGCTCATCACACCGATATCAAAGTTATTGTTGCACACCTCCACACGCTTGAAACATCGTCTTGCGAAAACGACATGGCGTCCCAATTTCATATTTCTTCAAATCTTCTACGTTTGCCTTCATTACCTTCATTACCAACTGCTGGCCAGGCTGGTGGCATCCCTTACATGCATAAAAATGCAAGTTGATGCTTCCCAGTGTACTATTAACCCTTCAATTAACGATCAAGCCGGTTCCAGGGGATTGATCGTTATGGCTAGGATATCGTTATACTCATATCGTTATTTGCAGGGTTAACAGTGCCCGTTCGGCAGGTACCGGAAAAAAGTTAGTCTAGGCCTCTCTACGCTAAGACCCCCTTGTATGACGTCGATACCCGCGCTGGAATTCATTCCATCCCAAACGCCAAACTTCAAATTTCAGAACAAACCAGAAAACGAAACAACTTGTTAGTAGTAGTACACTACACCTGTGACCTTCAGGATCTCGATATGTTTGAGTGGCGACAAGACACACAAGCTTTGGGTTGGCCAGTATAGACCATCACCGGCTTCCGGCCACCGCTTTTCTTACAACGAACATAGTGTTACAAGGCACCGAACGTATTCACACTACAAATCTTGTCAATGAAAAGTGTAATCAAGCTTTTGAGCCAAGCAATTGCCATGGAATGCCATGAGATTTCCACCTGCTTGTCTGGTAGTTGAATGCTTAGGTCTGCCACACTTCCCGTTATGTGAAGCCAGACGGGGATGTTCCATCGTCAATGGATCGAGCTGGGCAAAAGCTTGTTTTCCTTGGCTTTTCACATTTCGTCTTTGATGGTTGTGGTGTGGTTGGGCAGAGGCTTTCTTCACCCACTTCTTTGATAGTACATACCCGTCGGGGAGGGGGTCATGATTCTCAAAACATCTACGAGGTACGGGCCACAAGCAACAGACCAGCCAATATATCTATGAGTGCTCATACCAAAGAAAGTCGCGCGAAAGGGCAAGCCGATAGACTTAGTATCCTTCAAAATCAAGCCGATACCCAACACCGGCTTTGGGCTGCAGCCATTGCACGTGGATAGACGTACCGTCTGCCAGTACCTTACACGACTGTATCACAAACATGGCCAATGACCAACAACCATTCCTTTTCCGAGGCCTCTATCCGGTGTAGCACCATGTGACTGCGTTGGAAGGCACCAATTTGGTCTTCAGTTGGGCTGTTGGCTGTGTCTTGATTTGGGTAAGCTAGAGCTACTTGCTGCTTCTGAAACAAACCGCCCCTTGGTATTAATTCAACAACCGCTTCACCTCTTCTGCCTCTTCGCCGGCCTAGCATTCTTCTCGCGCTTCTTCTCCGCGACCGCCCTTGCCTTGCGGATATCCGTGGCAGTCATGAGCTCCCTCTTGCTACCCTCACCATCCTTGTACTTGCCGATTCTCTTCTCCTTGGCTTCGGCAACACGCTTCTTGCGGACGTGGTAATCGTCTCTGAACTTGTCCGCATCCTTGGGCGCCTTCTCCATCTTGTGCTTGTACCGCTGTTGGCCAGGTTGGGCTCCGAAGTTGCGGATGAGCTGCGACTTCTCCGTCTCGCCAATCGTGGGCAACTTGCCGAGACGGTTATCCTTGCGCCACCGGTCGAAGCGGCCGCTCTTGAACGAGGCGGCAATCTTGACACCGGACTCGCCACGAATCATCTTGGCGCCCTTGGAGCCGTCCTCATCGTTGGCGACCGCCACGTACTTGCTGTGACGCTTGTCCCAACGCATCTTGGATTTCGTGGGCAGACCGAAGTTCTTGGCACTCTCGTCGTTGGTCAGGTCCATGGTAGCGTCGCGAGCGGCCTCGACGAAGCTGTTGCCGCTGTAGCCGCCCGAGTGAACACCGTAAGCCTTCTCCTCCGCAAGGCTAGTGGTGCGAGGCGTGTAGGACATGAAGATCTCGGGGTCTTGGAAGTTGACCGGGCCACCCTTCTTCTTTGTATGCATGCTGCTGGATACTGTAACCTCCATCTCCGAATCCGAGTCGTCGGCGTATGGGTCTTCCTTGGCCCCCGCCTCTTCTGCCTCTTCCGCCTCTCCCTCCTCTTCCTCATCCTCAAAGTCTTCGAACGCATTGATCTCCCCGCCGTCAGGTTTACCCTCGGCATCTTCCATGTCCACGTCCTCATCATCCTCGTCGTTAGTAGTCTTGCGCTCCTTGAATCTGGAACGCATATTTCGTACAACTTCCGCGGCCTTATTGCGGCTAGACTTGCCCTTAGGGCCAAGTTCAAAGATGGTTTCCTGGGGCTTGAAGCGGTTTATCCTGTTGAGAAGATCATCGCGAGCTGCCTGGGCTTCAGCGGCTTCTTCTCCAAACAAAGGATGGAGCTGTGTCCAGCCCCTGGACTGCGTAACTTCGCGGGCTCTCTTTGCGCTCTGGCTCGACGCAGAATTCCTCGTCTTCATGTAGAGCTTCTCGGCCTTTGCGGCAACACCCTTCAGCGCCTTGAGATCAGTACTCTCCTTGAGCGCCTTCTCAACCCACTCAATGTTAACATCCACTCCATCTCTCTTTAGTGTTCCAACTACGACGTCTGCCGCGAAGGAAGGGTTCTTTTGGTCGTGGCCGATGATAAGTTTCCTTCCCAGGAAGAGCTGTAGATCAAGTAGATATGGTACGTCTGACTGACGGACCAAACCATAAGCCCAACCACGCTGACCCGCACGAGCTGTACGACCAACACGATGGACAAAGATCTTGGGCTGAGATGGGAAATCGTAGTTGATGACGTTGGCGAGAGCAGGCATGTCAATACCACGGGCGGCGACATCGGTAACCACGAGAATATGTGTTCTTCCCCGACGGAAGTTGTCAACTTGGATCAAACGGGCCGTCTGGTCAAGCGAACCGTAAACGTAGGACACGGCAAAGCCTGCGAGTTTCAGCAGGTTCGCAATGTACTCGACGTGATGTTTCGTTGCTGTGAAGACGATGGTCGAGTATTCCGTCGGCTTCTCCTTAGGATTGGGCCTATACTCGCGTTTCCTTTTCCTCGCCTGCAATTCTTCACTCTCTTCCTTTGTGCCCTCGGGCGGACCCAGCGGGACCTTGATGACGTCGTGGAGAAGATGGAGAAGGGCACCCTCCTTCTCACCTCCCTTTACTGCGAAGAAAGCACTCTCGAGGTCGGGTGACACCTTGGTTTCGGCATCCAACCTGACAAGGCTCGGCTCTTGAAGACCGGCTCTGGCAAATTCGACCAAGGACGATGGGAGCGTCGCAGAGAAAAGAAGCGTCTGTCTGGAAGGAGGGAGGGCGTGAAGGATTTCGGTCAGCTCGGTAGCGAAACCCATTTCGAAGAGGCGATCGGCTTCATCGAAGACAACGTATTTAATGGAGGCCAAAGAGAGGTTCATTTCAACCTTGAGATGGAGGAAACGACCGGGTGTGGCGATGATAATATCGGGATTCGACGCCATCATACCGAACTGTTCTTCCAGGCTGTCACCACCGACGAGCAATACGGTCTTTAGATCGGTACCTCTGCCGAGTTCCTTGACGACCTTGAGGGTCTGCAACGCAAGTTCACGCGAGGGAGACATGATGAGCGCCCTCGAGCCAACACGCGGACTGTGCCCCTTCAACCTCTCAATCATGGGGATAACGAAAGCTGCAGTCTTTCCGGAACCGGTTCTGGCCATGCCGACCACATCTTTTCTTTCTAAAATCAGGGGGATCGCTTTGCGCTGAATGGGGGTCGGGACGGAGAAGCCTTTTCTGGTAATCGCTCGGAGGAGATGGGCGTTTAGACCTAGGGGAGAATCAGCGGCTGCCCCAAGCTTCATCAACTTATGCCATGGGACGGAAGACTACGTACCCATTGCCTGGAAACCTCCACCCTTCTTGACTGATTTGCCCTGAATGTTGGAGGACTTTCTCTGGGAGCTCCGTGTGAGCGAAGCGATAAAGGCTTCGTCATCATCGCCCTCGCCATTAAAGCTAGGTAGTCCATCATCGCCGTTACCGAGAAGATCGTTGAAATCGAGGTCAAGACCGCTGTTCGTAACAGCTCCCTTCTTGGTGTGGTGCTTGCTGCTGTTGTCTTCAAAGTCGCTGTCGTCGTTGAACAAAGCACCCGCGATGTCAACCTCGTTCTCGGACGGTGTGGGGGACGCCACGCGTCTAGGCATGGTGGGCGAGGGTTGTGTTGCTGCCAATTGCAGCACAAATCGCTAATTGAAGATGCAAAGACGGACGGGGTGGGTTGGAGTTTAGGTTGGTGATGATGATGGGGTGTTGGGGTCTCTTGTCTACTGTAGCCATCAATGTGCCTGCCCGTCGCCCGTAAATTTTGGATGGTCGACTTTTTAGTGGGGCCAATGTGACATTTATCCATTATCAGCTTATCAAGTACACCCATTGCATGGGCTTGCCTTGGCAGCGCTGGCGTGCGTTAGCTGCGCTTTCCGCACTCCTGGAGGTGTCGCAAGTCGCAACTACTGAACTTCCCTAAACTTCCCCGGAGTTTCGTTCCGTTTGGTTGACAGAACTTACTTATCTATCAACCCTTTGTGATTGATTAAACAACTATCCAGATTGACCCTTCATTCTGGCGACAATATGGCGACAGATACTAAGGACGCGAAGGACGTTAAAGACGTCAAAGACGAAACTCCTGCCGACACTCGGGATGCGCTCGAAGTGCTGGAATCTGAAGCCAAGGAGTGGGAGAAGGCAAGCCAGACAACAGCCACACCCAACTATACCAACATCTACATCCCCAATTCAGTAGTTGCTGACAATCAAAATATCGACAGGATGCCGAGATAGACCGTATCCTCAAAGCCTTCCGGCTCGACGCCTACTCAGTCCTCGGCCTCAAGCCCGGCGTGACCGAATCCGACATCAAGATTGCTTACCGCAAAAAGTCCCTGCTGATCCATCCCGACAAGACCAAAAACCCCTTGGCGCCTGAGGCCTTCGACCGACTGAAGAAGGCGCAAACGGAGCTAATGGAGGAGAAGCACCGCAAGAACCTAGACGAAGCCATCGCGGACGCGCGCATGCTGCTGATACGCGAGAACAAATGGACGGTCGACAGCCCGGAGCTCAAGACGGCCGAGTTTGAAAAGAAGTGGCAGGAAAAGACCAAGTTCGTGCTGATCGAGAACGAGCAGCGACGACGCAGACAGCTCAAGGCGCAGATGCAGGAGGAAGGCCGCGAGCAGCGGAAAGCTGACGAGGAGGTTGAGCAGCGCAAGCGCAAGAGGCAGCACGAAGAGGACTGGGAGAAGACGAGAGACCAGCGCATCGATAGTTGGCGCGCGTTTCAAAAGGGCAAGTCTGGGGATTCGGATAAGAAAAAGAAAAAGAAGTTGAAGCCTATTGGCTGAACAAGAAGAACCTGCATGCTCTTTCATATGAGCATGCGTAGCAATACTCGACTACGGCAATTGCAAGATGTGTTCATCAGCGATGCAGCAGCGGAGCTTACAACGAATCGAAGGAAGCCAATTTTCTTGGGCTTAGAGGAATGAGGGTGTTTACACGCAAAGCTTTGGGCCGCGACTTGGTCGCTTTTTTATGGGACAAGGTGCTTATACATATACACAACAGAGAATCATGTAAGTCTGAGAAATTGAAGAGATATATCACAAGTCCTTACCTGAACCTGACCAAAGCCTTCAAGGAGGCATCAGCATTCTCAGGTATCTTAGCAGCTAATCATCTGATAGTCGAGGTTCCCGCTCAAAGATTGGTTTGTTGTCCCGTACATGCGATGAGCGTGAGTTGTGTTATCGATATTGACTGGTCTCTCTATTCCTAGCTTTGCACCCCTCTCACGTTTTCTATTCTAGTATCAGCTGACAAGTTTGACGGTACGTCGGGTATCTCCCTTCCCTCCTGTTATCTTTTCTTTGTATGAATACTCGTCCTCATCCCCCTCTTTGTAAATGTTTCAGCTCTTTTGTAACTTGTAGGTTGTGCATGCCCTGTTTTGAGTCCATATCGTATATTGGTAGATTCAACGACGAAGATTGCGACACTTTTTCCATGACAAGAGTTTCGAAGATTTACTGCGTCGCCTCCTTCACCTTGGGCGCGTGCTTCTTCTTGTACTGCACAAACCTTCCCAGATTTATCAGTGCCTCATCGGCCTTTATCCTCAACTCCTCAAAGGCCCTCTTGTTGATGCCCTTGGCAACTGCCTTCAACTTGGGCTGGAGCTCCTCGAGGTGGCTGAAGAAGCCGTCCTTCCAGAATACTTCGGCATCGCACGTGTATTCCTCATCGCCATAGATATCGAACACTTCATTTAGTGCTTGAATTATGTCCGCCGGGGGGACTCCAGACTCTCCAGCACTACCGAGAAGAGTCATCAGGAAGACACCAACTTCGCGGTTTATATCGATAGGGGCGGGGTCGCGAGCCAGAGCGCCGAGAACGCCAATGCACTTAACGCCAAGGCCTTGGAAGGGATCCTCCTGAGTTTGTTGCTCCTTATTCTTGTCGTCTGCATCAGAGGTGATAGTGGTTTGTTGTTGCGCCTTGGACACTTGGTAAAGAGACATGAACTTGCGGTGCTCGTTTTTGCTGAGGGGGGTGGTGCCGTTGAGACTGCGGGCCACAGCCCATGCGAGGCTGGTCACTTGAGTGGCAAGCTGCAGGTCGGCGCTATCGGCTTCGAGGATCGGGGAGATGGTCCGCTGCCAGATTCTCTTTCCGGCGGGTGCCCATGCTTTCCAAATGTTGGCGTTTTCACCGTCAGAGAAGTCGATACATGAAATAGTCCAGGCAATATTGTTGAGCGCGCTGATGGCGTGGCCCTGAATCGCCATGCTATTGTCATCATCCACAGCAATATTGGTCAGCCGGATAAGCTGAGGAATCGCCTTGTTTATAAGTTCGCGAAGGGTAGGTAGATCGTCGAGGTCGTCTTCGTTGTCGTCTTCGGAATCCATGCCGGTAACCTTCTCTAGGTCGGCTTCATCGAACTCTGCATCATCTGAATCACCCTCTTCCTCATCGCCCTCCTCCTCCTCATCCTCTTCGTCGTCCTCCTCGTCCTTATCGTCACCAGAGTCCTCGTCAACGTCCATAGCGTCGTCGTCCTTCTCGGCTTCTTCGAACCCATTCCACTCTTCGTCCTTGGAAGCACTACCAGGCTGAGGGCGGTTACCCTTTTCCAGTGCGGTCTGCAGATCTGTTCCAATCGAGGCCACAATCTCAAGAGCAACCTGCATCATTTGAGCCCAGCTATCGGCCTGGCCATTGGCCTTGTTGCTCGGAGGAGGCTGTTCTAATGCCTTGGATAAGGTTGGAACAAGCATGGCGTCGCAAGCACCATCCTTGCCTGGGCTGTGATCCAACCACTGAAGCGACGCAAACACATTGTGAAGGACTCCGCAAACGAACACGGAGCGGGGACCGCCAGCAGCGACAAGCTCAAGGAGTTTGTCGTAGCATCGGGTCTCTTGGTCGTCGGTGATGGCTTGGCCGAGTGGTAGATTGTCTTCGGAAAGCGTCATGAGGCAGGAGAGAGTCTCCTCGAAGGCGGCTTGGGGAACGGCCTCGGTGGCGACGATGCGGAAGAGGAAGCGAACGACGTTCTGATTGGCAACAATGGCCTCAAGAATCTCATCGCGAGCAAGGGCGAGGGAGCTAAGAAGGACGAGGAGGGAATGGCTCATGTCCCATACGATGCGTTGCTGGCCTTTGGTGAGTTTCGCAAAGGGCGGCTCGGTTGAGGCAAGCGTTTCGTTGAGGGCCTTGGCGGCATGTTCGATGGCAGTTAGGATGTCGAGTCTGTAGAGGTGAACGCAGAAGTCGCTCTCCTCCTCCTGAACGAGAACCTTGAGAATCTCCCAGCCGGCGGCGCGGCTATTGATGCTGTTGTCGGTAAGGGTCTCGGTAAGCACGATAGGGACGATCTGTTCACGGAGCAGAAGCTTTCTGCACTTGGTGTCCTGGACAATGTTTGCGATGGCACCAGCAGCAGCTGTGCGAGACTTAATATCGGGGCTCTGTAGGTCCTTGACGACGGGGAGAATGCGGCTTTCGCGCAAGGCAGCGAGCTCGGGGTCCGACGGGGGCTTCACAGGCTTCGCGATAGGGTCGGCGCGATTGGGCCGGACTCTGTTTTTGCGGGACTTGCCCATCTTGTAATACCGAAATGTGAATAGACAGTTGTTGGAGGACTGGAAAGATTGGGATGGTTAAAGATGATGTGTAATCGGCGACGTGGAAAGCAAGCAAAGAAAGCTGTGATGGCAGTGTGTACACTTCGTACACTTGTAAACTAATGGAGGAAAACGTGCAGAAAAAAAAAATCCAGCGCTTTTTCTCCAATTGCGATGGAAACTGTTCGTGCCCCACCCTTCGACAGAGGATGAACCATCAGCCCCACTGATTCCCTTCCACACCAGACAGGGGTCCCATCCCGATCTCCAGCTAACCAAGTGGGGCTTCCCCAACTGCAGGGGAGGTGCTTGAACCCCGAGCTTATCTTGGCAAGTGGGGATGAGATCGACAGGCGCAGCTGCGCCGTTCTATGCGCCTGACCCTTGAGCCATAGTGTATAGTTATTGCAGGATCAATCTTTGAACCCAACTATGAAGCTCCCGGTCCCGTCCGGAAGCTTTCTCGGATGACATCAGTTTGAAAGCAGATGGGCAATTCGCTTCAATTCCCGAGCTACCGAAATCGTCTGTTGAGCCAACTGTACCAGTAGTGTACGGGTCTACGGGGATCTGAAACACTGCAGTGGACACCAAGATCAATCAAAACCGAGACACACTCAAAGACAATCGCCCAGCTTTCCTTTTTCGCCATTGTCTCTGCGCGGCACACTCAACTCCAAGACCTACGCGAATGACCTCGTAATCATTATTCCAGAACATCAGGCGCGAGAGGTGTCAGCAATAAGTTTAAGATTGCAAACCTGGGGCGCTAACCTCCATCGCTGCCTATGCAGAACGCGCCATCTTCTGATCTCGTTCAAACCACTTCGAAGCCAGCCACCCGCTCCTCCGCGATCCGGCCTGTCTTTGGGCTTTAACCACCATGGCTAATTTGTTCATGACGAACGAGGAGCTTGGAAAGAAAAACGACGATCACAAGCGGACTAAAATTCCCCCAATCCGATCCTCGCAATGGAATACGGCTCGGATTCCCCCACGGAAGACGCTGAAGCGTCTCGCCATAGCCTTGACCGTCGCCATTTTCGTCTACCTTTTTATACACAACATACCTACAGATAACCCCATCCGAGACCACCGACACCCCGTCTATCGCCCCGTTTCCGCTCAAAACCCGTCGAACGCACCGAGCATTCCCAAGTTAAATCCCAATCGTCCTTGGAAGCCACCGACAAAGCCTGAGACCGCCAAGCAGAAGCCAAAGCCTATTCCTGAAGTTGACCCAAAGCCTGTGCCGGATGTTGGCTACAATGGCCCGATCACGTTTCCCAATCTCGCTGTGTCGCTACAAGCAATATATGAGACACAGGGAACGTCTCCAACGAATAAAAACATACTGTTTGCGGCATCCAGCCTTAAGAGCGCTGCTAAGCTGCTGCCAATGGCTTGTCAGATGGGGACCGAGTTACGGAGCTACGTGCATTTTGCCCTCATGAGCCGAAGTGATATCGATATGGAGCAGCTGAAGGCTATCAACGGCATCGACCAGTCCTGCCAGATCATATTTCACGGTATGATAGAGCTCTGTTTGTAACAGAGAATGGAAAACTATGACTCGTGTCGCTAACCCAGCTGTAGACGCCCGTCTGGATAAATCGACCGAGTCAACCAAGACACGCCTTTCTAAGGGTGTATCTCGTGCCTTCCGTAAATAGAACCGCTTCCACGAATGTCCTTGGCTGTATACATCTGACCTGCGGCTGCTAGACCACGTCCAAACGTACATGCACCCACAAGCTGTGCTTGTAGATGCTTCGGGCGAAGAAGAGGAGTATTTCCTTCCCGCTGCAAGAGCCCAGGCATCTGAGGAAGGATTCCCTCTGATCGAACTACCTGAGGGCGCACAGAAACACCTTGCTTGGATGACGAAGCTGGATAGTGCTTCTTTAGCAGGTGAGGAGACGATAGCACGTTGATTGTTCAAGATGACTATGGCTAACGTCAACGAACATAGCCTGGAACAAAGTCAATGTCGAGATCATGGTCTACGCCTCAACCGGCACCTCGGGAAGCCTAATTCGGCTGCTGAAATCTCTGTCGGCCGCGGATTTCACGGCTTGTGCTATTCCACACTTGACCATTGAGCTTTCTCACGATATTGACGCCGCTACGACTCAGTTTCTGCAAAAGTTCCAGTGGCCGCCTTCCCGAGCGTATAGTCCGACTCACGTTCGTCAACTGACTCTTCGCCACCGTATCCCGCGTAAGAGCTTGACGGAAGAAGAGAGCTCAGTGCGATTCCTCGAGTCTTTCTGGCCCGCAGACCAGCATTCCCACGTCTTAGTTCTCTCTCCGAATATCGAGTTATCCCCTCGGTTCTATCATTGTAAGCCGCCGTACCCCCAATTTGTTAATCATTTGCTTTAGAAAGCCCGCCCGATGTTGACAGCATTCCTCAAAGACCTAAAGTACGCACTCCTTGAATACAGCTACTCCGTCCCCGCTACCATGCAACAATGGGACTCTCACCTTCTTGGTATCAGTCTAGAGCTTCCCTCAACCCACCCAGGTGATGCCCTCAAACCTTTCAGCCCGCCCTCTGCGTCCAAGAAGGCTACTGCCGCCCAACAACAAAAACAACAAAAGAAAACCCCCACCGACAACAACACCCCATTCCTCTGGCAAGCTCCCGGCAGCAATGCCGTCCTCTACAGCGGCCAAAAGTGGACGGAACTCCACAAACTTGTGTCCAAATCACTCGAGTTCCTGCACCAACAGCAACGACATGCTAGCACTACCAACCCTGCCTTGAATTTCTTCACCCAAAAACAAATTAGCAAACACTACCCCTCCTGGCTCGAACACGCCCTCCGTCTCGCGCGCGCCCGCGGCTACTTCACCTTGTACCCCAGCCCCCAAACAGCGAGGAACCTGGCGACCGTACATAATGAGCTATACCGAGGGCCGGAGGAGTACCGCAGCAGCGATGCTGGTAGTGGGAGCGATAGCGGCAGTCGGAATGAGCTAGGGAAACAAAAGGATGAAATCAGCCTCTCCCCCGGTTCGCTACTGGACAGCTTACCCGCCGGGGGCAATCTCGTGCCCTTTGGTGATATGCCGTTGCTGGATTGGGAGGGAAGGGCGACGAGTTTAGCGGAGGTGGATAGGGGGGCAGGGGAATATGTGGATGAGTTCAGGAGAGCGGTGGGGTGTGGGAAGTTGGAGAAGGGGAAGAGTCAGATGGGTGAGGACGGTGAGGAGGAGGAGGATGAAAAGAATATCTTGGCTAATGGGGTTCGGAAAGGAGGGGTGGAGAATTTGTTTTGTAATCGGTGACGAGGTTGGATGGGTGATTGGGGGGTGGTGTGGATTTGGCGATGTATGATTATGGCGTCTTTGGATATTGTGAGTTGATGCTGGCATTATCTTCACTATGGCATGTCGATGGTCCCAGACACTTATTCGCTGTTCTAGTACAAGTGCGATGCATATCGTCGACAATCTTTTGTCTCTACTGACATCTGGCATTTGTCGCAACATGTCGAAACCAAGTTCCGTGGATGATATCCTCCTCAGTCACTACTCATCAGCCTGCTCTCCATACTTGTTCACAACTAGAAGCGTAATACATGCCCCGAATATGGAAAGGGCAATAATCCCCATAATCTATGCATTGCACACAATTGGTTAGTCATGACAAGTGGGAAGATGAAGAGTCTATGTACTTACGATTTGTGTTCTCCAACCTGTCTGTACAATTGCTGCCCTACGGCTATACTTGTTCACGGTTTCTGGTGCATAACAGCCCGCTCATGTCAGCGTTGGGTTTTGAGGATTCTTTGAACCGGGTCTTGAGATAGGATACTCCAAATCAACCATAACGTACGGATATAATTGGCCACTCCTACACCAAGGCAAGAGACAGAAAGCCCCCAGAAAATGATGCCCAACGGCTTCGCCATCCGCAACTCCACATCGCTAGCTGCCTTGCGAAGGTGGAACGAGAGCACGATGGCGACGGAAACGATAGCCATGTAAATGGACAAGCGAAGGAACGATAGGAACGCTGTTTAGCAATAGCATCAGTCAACAAGTTTCAGTGTTCTAGGTGTCGTTCTATGTAACGGAACCAGATCCGAAAGACATCATATGGACGTACTTCTCTCGTTCGCGCAATGATCTCTACAGTCGCTACTCTCATTTTCGAACAGTATAGGACCGAAAAGCGGCCAGAGACAGAAAGTGTTTTCGTTTTCATCGAGGAGACTGGTGTCGTGCCTATCGGAAAGGTCGATGGGCTCAAGCAGCGATGAAGGATTCACACAGCATGAGCATCTTGTGACCCCTCTGTCACTGGTGTAAGTCCAGTTTTCTTCCTCGTCTTCGGTGACGAGGGTGGCGCTTTGGGATGTTGCTGTTTGAGACATTGGGTTTAACCAGAAGGAAGGTTGACTTAGTATATGGTATTCATTCACTAGAGCAAGTCTTCACACCACTCAGTACTTTTCTAATGGCGTGACAGCCTCATGTCACTGTGTATACATAGTAGTAGTCCCTAAAACCCAGCTGAACCTTGAGCAAGGGATGTTGGTTTGCAGCTGAGAGGCGGGTACTGTACTATGTATACGTCATTCACATATGCTGAACCCTAACCCTTAGTGTGCTGCCTGCTCTCGTCTCTTACGCAGTACACCTGGCAGTGGGACAGTGGGGTCCGCCTTTAGTGCTTGCTGCCTCTAGGCGCGTCCAAACGCGTCTCCCAGCATCAATCTTTCACCCCGCAATCCACCGTTTGATACCAGCTCGTCCATCACACTCATTGCCTACGACTGGATCTTTTGCGAGAAGACGGAAAGTTAATCGAATCTATTTATTAAATAGCCGAGGAGACAGTAACACCAGACTCATGGGTAAGTAATTCTATACCGAGTTCCTCAGTTCTTCTCCTAGGCTCCGCAAATGTCTAGTCAGCTAACTGTGTGTGACCTTGACAGCGGGCTACGGCGGATATGGTGGTGGCGATGGCGGCGGCTTCATGTCCGGATCCCAACAAGGTGGTAGTCAAGCCGGTGGCTCCAAGGTAAGTCCTCTGTTATCCCAATTCACCTCTACCCCTTTCTTCCTTCCTTCGCCTCAGCACCCAAATCAGGTACTGACAGCCTGTCTCTCGTCCAACAACAGTACGCCGACGAGTCCCTCCGCCCCGTAACCATAAAACAGCTTCTCGATTGGGAAGAGACCTTCCCCGGCGCCGAGCTTGCCATCGACGGCCACCCAGTAACCCAAGTGACCATTGTGGGCCAAGTGCGCTCGGTCAAGCCGCAACCGACTAACATCACGTACCGGATTGATGACGGCACGGGAGCCATCGACGTCAAGAAGTGGGTCGATTCGGAAGCGCAAGGCGGCGAGGACGGTGGCAGCGGTGCCGGCGCGATCGCGCCCGACGCCTTCGTGCGCGTGTGGGGCCGTCTTAAGTCTCTCGGCGGCAAGAAACACGTGAGCGCCAACTTCATACGCCAGATTGAGGATTTCAACGAGGTCAACTACCACCTCCTTGAGGCGACGTACGTGCATCTGTTCTTTACCAAGGGAGCTCCTGGTAGTGGTGGTGCCAAACAAGAAGGTGGCGGAGGGGACAACATGTTTGTGGATCAGGGATACGGAGCAGGAGGCGGCGATGTTGCTATGGGCGGCGCTGGCCCCGGTGGAGGCAACAGTGCGATGCAGGCGAGGTTGGCGACGTGCTCAAGGAACGCGCAGATCATGTGCAATTTCATCAATAACTCGCCTGGCGGGACGGAGGGTGTCAATTTGCATGTGATTGCGCAGGGCACAAGGATGTCGGTTAGAGACATCACAAATGCGGCGGATGAGTTGCTGGGGCAGGGTATTATTTACACCACGCAGGATGATGAGACGTGGGCCATTCTGGATTATTAGTTCAGAGAGCTCGGCTTTGGGTGAGTTTAACGTGTGTGGTTGGGAATGGGGAGGCAGAGCAAGCGGTACTGGCAGGCCATGCTTGAAATACCACCGGAGGAGGAAGGGATGAGAAAGGCTCAGGAAAAGTCTTGAAGAGGATCATGTTTTCTTTTTTTTTTCCCGGTCCACCTATCTGGACGAGGAAACGAATGGCGCCTCAAGGCTTAACGTTTCACAAGAATGGACCGGAATGGATGGTTTCTTTTTTTCCTTTTTTTTTAGTTTTCATCTTTGGTTTTGCGGTTCTGCGTCTGTTAACACGAAGAGAATATACCCGAGTCAATTTTGAGGTAAAGAAGGGCGTCTGATGACTTGTTGCATCGTAGAGCTAACATTCTAGTAGGCCGGACGGCTGAGCTACGAAACGAGTGTGTATCATGAAGGCGTGCAACTGACAGCCGTTACATCTCGAGTATAAAATGAAACCGGAAACCAACATATCCCACCCTTGCAATCAGTAAACACAAATCAGAGACCCAACAGTGAGACTCATGGTCCGAGGTCAAACGTGAATAAAAACACAAGTGTTCAATCTGAGTCGCGTCGGCGTCATCCTCCATGAAAACACTACTATATCACCATCAACTTACATCAACTTCTTACCGCCAACTCCAAGACCAACATGGCAATGCCCATGTGCAAGAAGGCCATGATGATAGTGGGAGCCGACAGTAGGAAACTTGACCCTAGTAGATCCCATAAGAGTATTGCTAGTGGTCGTGGTCGTCGTCAAAGGAGCAGCAGCAGCAGCGAAGAGCGCGCCAACGGTAGAGCCACCAGTAACAAGATCCTTGCGGGTGCTACTGGGAGTCATGCCAGAGGCATTGGGCTCGCGGACCATAATGGACAAACGGACGGGGTCCCGTCCACGCTTCAGGAAGATGTCCCTCTTGATCTCGAAGCCGAACTTCTGGTAGTAGGAGTTGTTGGCGAGTGAGCTGGATTCGAGATACATGGGTCTGTTTTCGGCGTCGGCCTAAAAGCATAAGCGGTTGTGTTAGCTTTTTGCTTTGGTTTTTCTTTACCCCTTTTGATAATAATCCGAAATGAGACGGTGCAAGACTTACCCGCTGCATCACATCCTTCAACAACTTCCCCGCATACCCTCTCCCCTGGGAGCTCGGCTTCGTGCCCAAGTAAACCAAGTACCAAGCATCATGATCCCTCTCGCCCAGGACTTGCGCCTTGGTGTCATGCAGGAGAGGGACCACTTCGTCGAAGTAACGCTTCCTACCCTCGATAGACAACTGATAGTAGAGCCTCCAGGCTCCGCTGCGAAACAGCACCCACCAGCTATCAAGATCGTGACCAGGTGGTAGCCTGCAGTATTTGGATACACACTGAGATCTCACAGTTACCGTGCAGCTGCCAAAACCCGCGACATTCTCGCATAAGGCGGGCTTCGAGGACCTTTTTTGTGACATCTCGGAAACTTCTTACCTTATCTTACTTACCTTTATCCGGTTGAAGGTCGAAGGTTGAAGCCCGCGCCTCGCGGAGTTCGAGGGTTTGGCACGCACGGCAAGGAGTCAGTGTGTATGTGTTAGCCATGACTTTGCTTTCTGTAACGTGCTGATATCAATCATCTCTCATGTGGACAGTTACGCCGCATCAAGGTTTCGAAGTTACTCATGCAAGCAGTCTCGACTCAAGGGGAAGGGAAAAAAAAAGAACCACTTACCAAAGCGCAACGCTATCATACTCTGGACCAATTGTCGTCACCAGCCCATTGAGGCAATGCATCGCGACAGCATAAGTCATGATATCTACATGCAGCTTCCACTTGTCCTCTGGGGTCATGATGGTGCCGCTGGACATCACGCCTCTGCTGTCTCCACCACCTGAACCGACGACAGTCTTCGCGTCCTCGGGATCCTCTGTGTTGACAAGATACTGGGCGTAGTCGTCGGCAGCAAAGGCATGGGCCAGGGAGAGTGAGGCCTCCCTACACTCCGACATGCCGGCAACACGGACGAATTCTTGCCACTTCGGAGGCACTAGGGAGTAGCGCTTAAGCTCGACAACGGTGACTGCTGGCGCAGAGCTTGAGGAAGCAGCAGTATTGCTGATTGTAGTTGAATCACTAGTAATCGAACTATTACTTGTAGTGACAGTCTCCATGATGGGTAGTAGTTCCTTCCAAGTACCTGAGGTGTAAGTCAACGTGCTCTTTATAGGGAGACTGGAATATCACAGAAAGACATGAAAATGGTCAAGGAAGGTGTAAAGATGCCCAAGGAGACGTCCTTCTAAGACGCTATCATCAGGGCAAGTACCTATACCATGCATCCAAGCAGGAACAGCATTTAGTGCAAAAGACATGAAGAAGACTGAACACGCACTTTGCTTATACGGCTGATAATATATTTTGTATGCTATCACCCGTATGGACTCTTGAGAGTTGACTTCTCGAGACGGGCATAAATCTCGATGGGTGTCGAAGACAGTTGAGGGCAGTACGGAGGTCAGCCGACATCAATGAGACCTGTCCGACGAACGGTCCTGGTGTTGTATATGTTCTGTGCTTGTTGTGTGAACCAAAGTTCGGCGGTTCAAGAGACAGTCGAGGCGAGAGTTTTTGTCACGTATGGAGGGAAATTGAAGCAGTGTAAGGTCAAGGTAGAGTATGGATTTCGAATGGTGAATTATTTGGTAACGGGTGTGTTGATTTGTTGTATGAAGTTATTGTAGGTAATCAGGCGTAGGGTTAAGCACGAGAGACACAGTAGCTACTGTCAGCTCTTGTGAAGATGGGCCCCAGAAAGGGGACTTCGAATAACTATGTTTGGTGTTGCTTGAGAAGATGAAGTTGGATCAACGAGATTCAAGGGAAACAGAAGCAGCATCCCATGGAGGCATGATCGAAATAAGTAAGTACCCCGTGGGTTGAATGTGACTGACCTGTTGGCTGTGTTCCTCCACTGACCAACCCACATCACCATTCAGACGGGCGGTCACACTGACGGCAGCAAGCCCCTCAAACCCACGGGAAGCTGAAGATGATGATAGCCCAACATCCCGTATCGATGTCTTGGCCAGACGTAATGAGACAGGGGTCTAAGTCATTGGACTGAGTTGAACGGAGCGGAGATGCAGCTAACAAACGGGAAGCCATTGGATCTCTGACCAACGAAGGATAGCCGCAGGAAATGTGAGAAAGAGAGCGCCGCACATTTGCTCTTGGCCTTCATCTCGAGATCTGACCATCCCGCTAAGAACGACGATGATCTCCAGAAACAGTTTGGAGCAATGGTTCACTGTGAGCAAGAATGCTCGTGCTTGGGGTTGGGTAGAGGGCGAGGCGTGCCGCGGGTGATTGGATAGCAATTGTCTACATATCAACAGGCAGCATGAAACGAAGCTGAACACCATGAGGGCATGTACTGAACTGATGCCTACGCCTGTGGAGATCCTGGCCAAAATTCTATGTTGAAGGTCAGCAAATCCTGAAATAGATAGGTAGAGGCGATATGCAGTATGGGTGAGGAGAATTGGACCTACGATATGATGAGGAGCATCGGTGGCACCTCGATGGCTGGCAGGGCGGGAGAAAGAGATCAAGTAGAACATAGCCGGTTGTAGCCCTGTCTCGGAGCGCCCCAAGATGTCTCTACTGCCTCATATTATCCAATCATAGACTCTTACCTATAAGCACCAAGACGCTTTGCAACGGGACGATCAATTTGTTGTTAGCCTTGGCTTGAGAAATAGGGTCATGCAAGATGATCAGGTGATGCAGCCATTGCTCTCTCGGCCGCCCTACAACTGATCAATCAAGTCCTGGATAGAGATCCTCAGTGACAAAATGGGAAATAACATGTTTGATTCGTCTCGAGATAAGACGGTATCCCGGTTGCGAAGGTGGTTGGTGATGCTCACCAGTTCTTCGCCAATACGTTCCACCCACAGGCTTGCGCATGCCTCCGCAGTGTTTGTTATCGTAACGCATGTCATTCCACGGTGCTACCAGGTAGGGAAGCCATTGCAAACCCCCAAATCAAGGCGTTCAGGACATATGGTGGATGTGGATGTGTAACGTGTTTCTTGTCCTCTATTCGCCCTTCCCCCCTTATCTTTACTCTTGAATGAACAATCCCGTCAAGCGCCGACCATGACCGACGCAAACAAAATAAAACCAGAAGATGAGAGGCCCTTTGCACGACGTCTTATTCGTCAGGCAAACAAAAGCGGATATCTCGGGGTTGAGTGAACGTAGGTAATATGATTAGAATTATAGGTCCTGTCTGGTTGCGAAAAGCGTAAATCCGACAGGCAATAGTTGCTTTCTTTATTTTGTTTTCACGTTCTCGTTTCCACACACGCGACGGTGGTCTTGTTCATCGTGGTTTTCTCCTTGCTTGCACTCGCTTAGTGAAGCATACGGCGAATCTCCTGCTCGTCGGTATACTTTTCAAGCCCGTTGTCAAGGGAAGCCCACCACTCAAAGAGCATAGACTCGCAGATGAGCTTGAACCAGGGGGTAAACTTGAGGGAGGGGTCCTTGAACATCTCCTTGAGCTTCTCGGCAGAAACCCACTGTGTGGCCTGGACTTCGTTTAGGTTGGCGTTGACCTCGGGGTTGGCCTTGATGAACAGGATGTAATCAACTAGGGTATATCTGTCAGCAAACTATCACTCCCCCAACCTCGCTGTTGTGCAGTACTTACTCTCGTGCTCACCCCACTTTCCGTCGCTAGGAGCCTTGTAGTGGATACGGGTAAGGAAACGGAAATCCTCAAAGGGGACCTGCTCCTGCTTGATGCCCAGCTCATGGTCCAATTTCCTCCTGGCAGCGTTCTTGACACCAGCGATAGCATCGGGAAGGGTCGATCCAGTCTCGTTGGCAAGGTTCAGAGGATGCGAGCAGCAGGTGTTGGTCCACATGTCGGGGAAGGTGATCTTTTCGGTGGCGCGCTGCTGGAGGAGAAGCTCGTTCTTGTCATTGAAGAGGAAGACAGAGAAGGCTCTGTGAAGAAGACCCTTATCGATGTTGGTCATAAGATGGCCTGTAGGAGTAGTGTCGGTCAGCGGACAGTGTCGATGGGATTTCTTGTTCCTCCTCAGGCAGGCACTTACAGAGCTTCTTGCTGGCAGTGCCAATGGGAAGGTCGTTCTCGTCGGTGACAATGCAGACCTCGTCCATCAAGCGGATCTGTTCCTCATCGTGACCCTCGAGCGCGTCGCTCCTCGTGTCGATGTCGGGAAAGAGGCGAAGGATCGTCTCGGCCGTGATGGGTTCGGCAACGTTGGTGGTGGTAGCGGTCGACATGTTGGCTCGGAGGGTGAGGGTTGTCGAGATGGGAATCGAGCTCGCGCGGCGGAGGAACTGGGAAACGGCCTTTGTAGAGTTCGAGGTCGAGGAGCAGCAGTTCGCCTCTCGGGAGCACCAGCAGCGACAACGGGACGGCACAGCAACCAGACAATGATAGTACACTAATGTTCGAATAATGCTGTAGTGGCGGGGCGTCGCGGGGAAGTTAACCCCAAACAGGTAATTTATGGACCACGAGCCAAGTCCAGAGCGGGCCCTTGATGTGACAAAACACCTTTACGAGCCACTCAGAGCTCGTCAAGCTTTGGCTAGCACGGCACCCGACTGAGGTCTTTCAAACGGCGAATTGACAGGATTATCTAAGAATTTGAGGGACTGCGTGAAGCTAGAAGAAGCAACGACTGTCCATAGGACAAAGAAGATGACAGGAAAGATTAAAACCAAAACCGTCTTGATGACTTCGGAAATTGCCATGGCTTAGGTGGTGTAACCTGGGTGCGGTCTACGTTAATCTGTTGCTTGGGTGCCTGGGCGACTACGGTGGGTATCGGTTGGGCTCGCATTGAACGTTGGCAAGGCTAGGAAAATAAAAAATCTTCCGAGGTCTGATATGAGAGACTGTTTTGGCAGGTTTCGTGAACGCAAGCGAGCTGGCCGTTGAAATGGGAATAGCATCTTGTATGTCAACTGTTTGTTTTGCCCAAGCAGAAAATAAGGGTTCTCGACGCAGAGCTACCAATTGCTTTGAGCTGGGAATGCTACAGCACACTTTATTGATTTGTTCACCGCCGAGCCATCCCTCGGTAGTGAAATTCAGGTACCGTTGATCCCTGCATTCGCTTCCCCACGCTTTGGAGTACGGATGAGCACTCCCATTTGTTGTTCCCCCTGACAAGACGTCAGCGACCAAACGCGCCAGGCCAGGGTGCCCGCTTACCCTGCACTTCGTCCGAAAACACTCACCAGCAGCACGATGCTCAAACACTGAAGAATGGATGGAAACCTACCATTACCGAGTTGATGATCTTTCCGCTCTCAGTCACCATATAGCGCCCGCGCAATGTGAGGATTAATACAAAAATTCAGAAATTCTAAATAATGTGATAAGCGCCAGATCATAGTCGATGCACGCAGTGATATGCTCCCGTCCTTATCGCAGCGTATAGAAACGCCCGAAATGCTTGAATATCGACAGACACTCAAGTGCTGTTAACCAGAGGCATTTCTGTTTTCTGCCTCCCTGGCAGCCAATTCCCAATCGGAGTACCAGATAAACCAATACTCAACCAAAGACACCCTGCAGACGGAATAAGCTCAAGGTCAGTATTTTGCTCAAAAGGAGGTGGGCGACGAGGAGGAAAAGAGGAAGGGTAGACAAACAGCAACAGTCCAAACGTAACTCCCATCCACAAGCCCACGAGACCCCATCCCAAGCTAAAGCCCAAGCCGAACGACAAGGGCAAGGCAACCACATAGTAGGCGATGAGGTTCACATAGCCGCCGATTTCCTGGCGACCGATTCCCCGCAACAGACCGTGCGACACCGCTGCCATGCCATCAAACAACTGCATAATGGCACACACGGGAAGTGTCTGGGCCACCAGCTCGATCACCTCGGGGTCTTGGGTGAACAACAGAGCGATCTGGTTCCGGAAGACGGACAGTAGTGTCACGTTGAAGAGACCGACGATGACACCGCCGACAATAGTCTGATTAAAGCCACATACATTGTTAGTACCCCATCCTCTTGAGACGTTGAGTCGAACGAAGGAATCAGATAGAGACATATCAATAGATACTTACCACCTTAGCTGACGTCTTCGCAGCATCCACCAACTTAGCCCCGATCAGGTTAGCAACTCTGGTCGAGCCGGCAATCGACAACGGAAAGGGGATTTGGAATGTTGTGGACGTGACAGTCACAAGAACACTCTGCGCCGCCAGGTGAGCGACACCAATTCTCCCGCTCGCTAGCGTCAGAATCTCAAACGCGAACCACTCCGCCACGACCATCACCATTCCCGGCAGCGCGAGCTGAACCATGGGGCCCCAGTTCCTCAGCGCCGCCTTCCTGAAGCCTCCCCATGCCTGCCTCCCGTCAACCTTCCAGACATACAACAACAGAAGCAGAGGCAGCATGTTCTGGGTCGCCGCGACCGCCAGCGGAGCGCCGATAAAACCCCACCCGAGCTTCCACACAAAGAGCCAGTTCAACAGCACATTGACCGGCGCCGCGATCAAAAGCACGTAGGTGGTAGCGTGGAACAGGCCTTGGGCTTGCACGAACCGCTTCCCGCTCTCGAACATGGCATAGGCAGGGGTGCCGAGGAGAATGACTCTGAGATACTGGGCCGCCAGCTTGGCGCTGTCCTTCTCAATCATGGCGGCCAGGATCGACTCGGCGTTGAGCCAGATTGCCGCAACGGGGATGAGCAGAAGGAGCAAGAAATATACCATGCGTTGGAGCTGCAGCCCTACGAGCGTCTTGTGGCCGCTTCCGTATGCTTGGGCGCATAGCGTGTCGAGAGAGGTGGCGAGCCCTTGGATGGGCGCATAGCAGGTGATGCTAGCAGTCATGGTGGCAAGGGAGACGGCACCGAGCTCAAGGGTGCCGAGGCGGCCGACGGCGAAGATGGAGGTGACGTTGAGTGAGTACTGGAGCAGGAAAGTCACGATGAGAGAGCGCGAATAAACAGCAATGGTCTTGGCTTCGCGCTGCCACGTGGTCTTGATCTGACCGGCCGCGACGGCGGCTTCCCATTGCTCGTTGAGATGCTCGTGTTCATGGTCGTGATGGTGAGATGAGGGTTCATCGCCGTGACCGTTGGCGCCGCGGTGTCGGAGACTTCTTTCACCAAGCAATGGCTCAGTCTCGGTCACTGATGGTGTGGGAGGGGCAATGACGATCTGGATAGGGCTGGCGGCCACTTCTTCATCCGGTATCCTTCGCGGGACCTTGGTACTGAAGATTCGGGTATATAAAGCCCTGAACAGTGTCTGCTTTTGCGGTGGACGGTCATGCTTCGGAGGAAGGATGTGGTTGTCTCTGAGGAGAGATCGCTCCTCGTCACGACTTCGCGTCCTTTCGGCTCTGGTGAGAATTGGCGCTTCTTCTAGCCCTCCAGGCCCAGCCAGGGCAGGTCTAATCGCCCCAAAGGCGACACCGCTAGGTCGTCTGTAAAGCGTAGGACCCGGTGTCTCGTCCTCGTTGTCGCTTACGGATAGAGCTTCATTGTCGACTTCATCAGCCGCATCATCCGAGAATTCAGCCAAGTCTCGGGCCAACACCTCTTGGGCCAGCGGCGATGCAGAACGGAAAGAAGACGCAAAGTCAAGGCCCGCACCCGACCTTTTCTTGGGAGGTATGGCTCGGTAGGAAGACATGTTGGACCTTTCCTCTTGTTGAGCCTTTCCCTCTCGAGGTCGGTCCACGCCAATATTTGATCCCTTACAAGAAGAGACGGTGAGAAACTCGGGACGCGGTTTTGATGTAAGACACGCCTTTTATCTCACCCTCCAAATCTGGATATCAAGAATTCAGGCTTGCCTGGATCTCACAGATGTTGATAGTCACAACCTACTCAACATTGTTAGCCATCATAGCTATAAAAGCAACAGTAGCACTGCATAACGTTACCTGCAGAACGCCGTGTCCTCTCGCCTTGCTCAAGCGGAATAGACTAATTTGTCTTTGTGGTGACGCAACCCAGCCAATCAACGAACCCGATGATCAGATGCGTTCGTGCAGATTGCAGAAAGAATCAGAGGGTTCTTTGAAAATGGCACGACAGCTGCCACCGAAGGGAACCGAGGGAATGATTCTCGAGAGGTTTAGGAACAGTTTGACAGACAGGTTCGGGTAAAGAGAAACCGCTGAATGAAAGTGTCGAGTAATAAAGTCAAAACAACTAACATTTGTCTGACATGGAATTTTTCCCCCCACTTCTTGCCTTTTAGATCCTTCCTTGCAGACGTGTTTAAGAGTGCGCCGCAGACTTGTAGCGCTAGAGGGATCATCCACCGCAATGGCAGGCCCAGTGGCACTAAGCGCTCTTTTTATGCAGCCCCGTCCCCGGGATAGACGGGACCTGGGTACCTACCTCTAGGTAGGTAGGTGTGACAACTAGGTACCTAACACCTCACCTACATACATAGGTACTTCATCTGCCTTTACTTGTATTCAACAACTTCCCACTCTTGCGGACAAGAATATTCGTGACTTTTATCAGGCTCATGACACCATATCCATTCCTGAGTAAAGGCCAAGATGGCACAGAACCTCTTGAGATATAACCATTCTGCTGTACTATTCGATTTCCGGAGACTCCCATTTTAACACCGAGGCCACGCTTGGCGCAACATGCAAATCAACAACATCCACTCGCCACTGACTCCCCAGATGACCTCGGCACCAGAACAAGTTACGATTACGTACAGTGAGTCACCGGGCCGCAACGACAGAACTTGAACCTTTCTTATGGACGAGAGAAAAAAAAAGACGAAAAGTGAAGAAAGAAGCCGAACGCAATAGCCGATGTTTTCAGCACCCTAATCCCAATAGGTTGCCAACTGGACTGCGTGTAAAGATCTAATGCAGTGGAATGAAGGGGCTTCGGCCTCTTCCATCCACACTGCATCAACCACAAGACCCCTTTGTACAATCTTTGCAATCGAATTCCCAGAAGTGCTACCTTGAATATCCGTTGGGAACCTTATAACACAGTTTAAATGATATAGTCCGCTTTTCTACTGCATATGCACGTGCGTGGTGTCTGCTTAGCCGCCCTTTCTTTGGCTCTCTCGATGAATACTTCCATCTCCTCCTGACGATCCCTCCTAACGTTCTAAAACACACCGAACCACATAACCCTATACATCGCCCAACTTGCAGCCCCTCTACTTCTCACCCTCCCAGTCGGGGTTCTGCGGACAAAAGTTAGTAAAACACAATTTGAAAGGCAATGTTATCGATCTGCACATACCTTGCGAAGAATGACGAGACCCTCAAGGGTGCTGCTAAGGCTGATGTATTGGTCATCCTCGAGCTCAGCACGCTCACCATAGCCCAGCAGTACCGGTGTGCTCTGGGTCTGCCAGCCAGTGATGGTCTTGGGGCGACCAGCCTGGCCCACCACATCAACAGCCTGACCGACACGAACGTTCACTGTCAAAGGCTTCAAGTCCTCATCCAGGGTAACAAGCATGCGAGGGTGCATTGCTGTCACAATCCAGTAGAGGAGATAGTGAGACTTCGACGTAATGAACTGCTTGGCATCAATCATGGCGACCAAGACAGCGAGGAGACCAGCCGTCGCCACGTTTGAAAGCACTTGACGGTCTGTGTGGAAGGGGCTGACGGAAAGAGTGCCCTTGCCCATGTGCAAGAGACCTTGTGCGATACGGACCATGAACAAAGACTCCTGATCTCTGTGATAGTAGCTAGCCAGCTGACGGAGCAGCTGGGCAAGTCTAGCGTTGTTCGTACCGGCACCCAGGAGACCCATAGCGAAAATGGCGTTGATGGCCACTTCATTGTCATTGTCGTGACTGTACCGTGACAGAGTGTCGTAAACCTTCATTTGAGGGTTGCTGGGGCTGATGAGACCCATAGCCAGCGGCACCGCTCGTCGGATGTTAGCTTCGCCGTAGTGCATAAGGTGGCCAAAATGGCGGAGAACCATTTCCTGTCCAACATCTTCGCCCATGGCAATCAAGCCAATACCCAGAACAGCATAGGCCTGAAGCAACTCCTCGCCCTTCTTCTCCTCTCCATCCTCAATGTGCTCGTTGCAAATGTGAAGGAGCTCCTGAATCTTGAGGACGGCACCGGTGCCAGCCCAGGCGCAAATCTCAGCAAGAACAGCAGTTGGCTTCGCCATAGGGTGCTCAACCGCCTTGAGCGTCTCAAGAATAACGTCCACCTGTTCCTGGCGACCAAAATAGAGGAGACCCAAGCCAAGCGCAAGGAACCTGGACCATTTGTCATTGAGGCGGCTTCCACTTTCTTCATCCAACAAGGTAGTCACGATGGCCTCGCTGACTTCGGAATTGGAGGAGCCAACAAAGATCATACCGCAGGCCAGGGCAGCCATGGCCGACACCTGCATGCTCTCCTCAGGGTCGCTGATAATGTTGACCAGGAACGAGAGAAGCTCCTCCTTGCAGGACCCTGCGTATGCCAGTCCGAGACCCATAATGGTAGCTACGCGGATGAGCGGGTTCTTGTGCGCAAGCTTGTCGGGATCAGCCAACAGGGCCATCGCGGGCTCGGAGTCCGTCCTAACGTTAGTATTCATGATACCGATCGCGAGGTATGCGCCAGCTTGGATTTGCTCCTCCTCGAGATAAGTATACTTGTCGACGTGGTCAAGACCGTTTTCGACGTCCCAAAGGAGCAGAGTTCCCAGCGACGCCACTGTAGACATCATACCCTCAGCCTTGGTCTTCCACACCCAGCTGTCCTTGTCTTTACCAACGAGCATCATCTTGTCACTCCCAAAGCCGGCATTGACAAAAGCGTTGACGAAGCCGGCGGCAAGATTGTGTCGGGCAGAATCAAAGTTGGTCATACCAGCAACACGGCTGCTTTCGAGGTGGCTCTTGTAAATATCCTCCGTCGTTTTTGGCTCCAAGATGTTGAGTTCCTTCCCGAGCGACTTGAAATACTCCGACAGCTTCTGGTTGGAAAGGCACTCGTAGATCTTTTCGTCGTCATCATTGCTCCTTTCAAACTCCAATGGAATGCCCTGGCGCGCGATAAGGAAAGCGAGCTGCTTACGAAGCGCAGGATCCTCGTCCGCCGCCTCGAAATCTTTCTCGATGAGTCCAAGATCGTTGAGTCTAATCGCAAGCACCATGGCTTGGGTGTGCTGGTTGTATTTCTTGTAGATGCTGTGCGCCACGCGAAGGAACGTCTCGTTGTCAGGATAGGTTAGGAGGTTGACCATGGAGACCATGTACAGGCAGACTCTCGAATAGGTGTTCTCGTCGAGAAACTTGGGAAGCTCCTCGATGATCTCGAGCTCACTCATCAGATCGACGGCATCGGCTTCAGCGTTGCTCTTGAGGAAGAGCGGCACCAGAACCAGGGCAAGATCGACCAGCTCTTGAGTCGGCTCATCATTGGCTATGCGCTTGGCGTAGACCTCGCCAATCTCGAGGGCGAGATGGCGAACGTACTCATGACCCCACGAGCCGATGTCCTGTGTTGGGGAAAGGAGTCTGTATTTCAGAGTATCCTGGCGGTCCTCGTCCGAGTATGTCATGCCGATCACCGATAGAACATCTGCGAGAGATGACTTGTCGTCGCCAGCGGGCCACTCGTCGTAGAGTTTCGTCATGGTCTCATAATGCGGGCGCAGGAACTTGAGCGGCTTCGGTACCGCCGTCATGGAGGATGTGGATGTCTTGATAGAGTTCTTCATGGCCTCGAGGGCCGGCTTGTAGAGGGTCGCATCGGATTCCTGAAGACATCGTACTGTTAGAGAAGCCGGTCTTCAGCCTGTATCACGTCATTGCGAAGCACCAACCGTTAGCCGCTCAACGAGCATCTCAAGCTCGCTCTTGAGCTGCTGATCCTCTTCACTGAGTTCCTCGGAAGCTAACGCAAAGCGCTGTCAGCAGAAGCCCGGCGCCGATACCTCAAGTCGGTCGGAGTGGCCGAGAAACCCACCATTCTGTTCCTCCTCCTTCTTTCCGTTTGCGGGGGTCTTTCCATCGACATCTTGGTGCTTCTTCTCGTCATCGACGGCCTTTCCCTTGCTCTTATCGGCCGTCTTGGACAGGTCGCTTTCTTGCGCCATGATTACTGGCCGTGATGGTTGTAGGTGGAAGGATTCGCGGAGCCGATGGGTCCAGTTGGAGGGGAAACCAAGGTCAGTTGGGCTGGCCGGGGTAGGTGGACGCGGCGGTGGCGTTCGCTGCTGCAAGAAATGTTCAAGTTTTGTCACCGAGTTTGCTTGAGCGACAGGAACTTGAGCTCCAGTCGTGAGCAGAATATCAAAATCAAAAGTGGATGAGCTGGCTGCGGTTGTTTGGAGGCTGTTATGTTGTTCAGGTGACGGTTTTGGAGGTTGGAGCTTTTGCACGTTCGCCCAGAAGCACCTCAGTTGCTGAAAGCCAGCAAAGGTCAGTGGCAGTTACGGTACTAACGCCAGGGAGCTCCGATGGTGGTTACGCGACTCGCTTGCCGCCTGAAGCTCCCCCGTCTGGCTGAGAACGCCCCTGCGATCCAATGCTGCCCGCCTCAAGTGGGTCTGGAAGCCTCGGTGGGGACGAGGCGTCATCAGAGCCTGGAAGATACAAATTCCGCTCCCCCCAAGCTTCTGATAAGATAAGCTACTGGCCTGGACCTGGCGCTTGAGGTTGACCGGGCAGGCACAGCTCAGCGAATGGAGCCCACGGCCAGCCCTATCTTATCGGGAAGATGTTATCGCAACCGTGCATTTGGAATTTGGGGGACGCCCACTTTCCGTTCTGCCCCCTGGTCATCAGCTTTGCGCTTCACCCACCTTGACTTTGACTTCGACGAGAGCGTCGTAGACAGCAACCTAATAGCTCTCTTGGATCAAGACAACATCAGAAAATCTCTCACAGCAACTAGGCCGACAATCACCTGAGAAAAAAAATCCAAAGAGAAACACACAATCATGTTTTTGGACACCAGAGTTTTACGCTATCTCACGGCAGAAGACTGGAGAGTCTTGACTGCCGTTGAGACGGGCAGCAAGAACCACGAGCTCGTCCCGACCCCTCTGATCGAGAGAATTGCCCGTCTCAAGGGCGGTGCCAGTGGTGTTCACAAGAGCATAGCGACCCTTGCCAAGTCTGGCCTCATCGGACGCATGAAGGAGGCCAAGTACGACGGCTACCGACTGACCTACGGCGGTCTTGACTATCTGGCGCTGCACACCCACTCCTCGAAAGATGTCGTCTACAGCGTTGGCAGTCGTGTGGGTGTCGGCAAGGAATCCGACATCATGATCGTAGCCGACAAGACCGGCAAGCAGAAGATTCTCAAGATCCATCGTCTAGGCCGCATTTCCTTCCGTACCGTCAAGTCCAACCGCGACTACCTGCGCAACCGGCAAGGCGGCTCATGGATGTATCTCTCGCGGCTCGCGGCCATGAAGGAATATGCCTTCATGCAGGCTCTCCAAGAAGAAGGCTTTCCCGTTCCCGAACCGATTTCCCAGTCCCGACACACTATCGTCATGAGCCTGGTCCAGTCCCTACCACTTAGACAGGTCTCCTCGGTTCCAGACCCCGCGAGCCTCTACGCTGAGCTTATCGACCTCATCCTTCGACTGGCCAAGCACGGGCTCATCCATGGTGATTTCAACGAGTTCAACATTTTGATCAAAGAGGAGCGGACCAACAAGTACACGATCGAGGACGGCGAGGAGAAGGAGACGGAGACGGTGACCCTTGTCCCAGTCATTATCGACTTCCCACAAATGGTGTCTATGGACCACGTAAACGCCGAGATGTACTTTGACCGCGATGTCGAATGCATTAAGAGGTTCTTCAAGAAGCGCTTCCACTTTGTGCCCACACAACTCGGTCCTTTCTTCAAGGATGCTAAGAAGACGGTTGGCAAGGATGGTGCTAAGCGGTTGGACGCCACTGTGGAGGCTTCAGGATTTACCAAGAAGATGCTCAAGGAACTGGAGAAGGCTATTCAGGAACAACAGGCGAAGATTGATGCGGGTGAGGCTGTGGAGGAAGAAGAGCTTGACGAGGACGAGGATGAGGAGGATGATAGCGGAAGCGATTCAGATGATGAGGAAGATGAGGAAGATCAACAAGAGGAAGAGGACCACGCCGTGTTCGAGATTCCGGCAAATGTTGGAAGGCCTTTGTCAGATGCAGAGAAGGGGCTGGAAAAGTTATTACTTGGCGGCAAGGGCGGCAAGCGAAGGGCTTGAAGCACATCGAGAGGAGAAAAGAAACGCGTTCCATGTCAGCTTTGAGATACCCCCAAATTCTATGCAGTTCTATCAAACAAATTTGTACTAAGACGTGCCAAGTAGGTTTTCGAAAGCTTTACGCTTATCAGTTTTTTTTTTTTGCAACCCATATGTTGTTTATGACACCCTCCGCAAAAGCAGTTTGACACATAATCACAATCGAATAAAGCCCAACTTGAATCACATTGAAACGTACTAATACTTTAGCTTCTGCTCCCACCTAACCTTCAAAGACCTCTGGCGGCGATGTCGGCTCTACTGACCATTTTCCGCCGTTGGCACGATAGGCTTCGGCACCGGGACATAATCATACGTCCCCGCCATACCCATCAACCAAACCTGACTGGGGTGCGCAGGAACCTTCTCTCCATACAAAAATGAGCTAGGGAACCCAATATCGAACGGAACCGCGCTCTCAATCTCGTCGATATCCTGGTCCGACAACGCCAGCGTGAGCGCCTCAATGTTACCCTTCAGGTGCTCGACCGACCGGCCGCCAACAATCGGGAACACGTACGGAGCCTTGTGCATCACGTACGCCAGGGCGACGGAGGTGATGGCCGTGTTCTTACGCTGCGCAATCTTCTCCAGAGCCCGGCTGATCTTGATCTGCTCCTCGGTCGTCTTAATCTTGCGGCCCTCGTTGGCCTGCTGCTGGCGCTGCTCCTCCGACTTGAAGCTGCCGCCCCCCAGGGCCCCCCAGGGCGCGAGCCCCATGCCTTCGTCCCGGCACATGGGAATGATGTCCCGCTCAAAGTCGCGCGAGGCGGCGGACCACCGGCCTTGGTAAATGCAGAACTGCCGAAGTGCGTGATCGCGCGCGTATTGGTTGGCCTTGCTGACTACCCAAGCCGGGGTGTCGCTAACACCCAAGTAGAGAACCTTGCCGCTGGTGACGAGCTGGTTCAGGGATTGCATCAGCTCGGGGATGGAGGTGGCAAAATCCCACCAGTGGACGTAGAGCTGTACAATGGTCATATTAGCAGGTCTATGTGTGATGTTTGAGAACAGAGAAACGTACGAGGTCGATATAATCCGTCTGGAGCTTCTTCAAACTGGCCTCAACTGAGACACGCATACTCTTGGTGCCGTTGCCTCCGAAACTGGCCATGATCTCTGTTTCACCATGACCAGCTCTGAAGTTGGTGGTATATTTGGTGGCGATGACTAGGACGACGATTAATGTCTGCTCCACGCGGAATCTATGGGTCTGACGTGTGCTTAAAAGGCTTCAGAGAGGTTCGCAAATTAGTAGCTTACCAAGTTGATCTCGAATCCCCCGTTTCTTCATCCACTCCCCAATCCATTTCTCAGATTCCTCCTTCTGGTAGTTGTTGGCAGTATCAATGAAGTTGCCTACACATCACCCAACATCACCGAGTTAGCTTCAGGGGAATAAGCCATAGGAGTTTCCCATCATACCTCCGTTCTCATAGTAAAAGTCCAAAATCCTCTCCGTAGTCTCTTGATTGCACTCTCCCATATAATCTTGCCTATGAAGTAAGGTTCCGCAGATCAGTAATCAAACAATATCACGAACGGTTAGCAGCATAAGTCCGATGTGTAAAACCTACCACGAATCGCCAAAGTTCATCGACCCCAGACAAAGCGGACTGACACGGACGGATGCAGTAGGGGACAGCAAACGATAGCGGCCGAGGGGCCCCTTGGGGGGAGGTGCCATAGGGAGGGCCATTTTGAGTTGAAGGTAGGTTATATTGAAAAGTGGGATGGGATGAAAAGGAAGACTGGGATGAAAGAAGAGAGATGATCAATACACACGGGAAGTTCATAAGAGAAGGGACGAGGGAACGGAAGGAAGCTTGGATTATATGCCTGTACGACGGCCGAGTTCAGATCGGCCGGAGACTAAGTACAGCCCAGATCCATGATTCGTTAAAAAAAAACAAGGATAGCACTTTGTTAAACAACGGGAGGCAGACAGGAGGGCCGTTCCCTCTTTCCTTCTATATAAGTTAACAAACGGAGATAAGGCAGAGATCACGGAGGCGGGCCCGACGAGTACCCCTAGAGCAAACCTCAAAGTGTACAGGTGGGATCGGCTTGAGGGCAATGGCAAGCTGAAGTGGGGGTCTCTACGCTCTTCCACAGCGAGATGCCAGGCACGCAAGAAGACTGGAAATGTTCGGGCACCCGAGCAGACGGAGGTGATGGTTTCGATCTCAGATCTCAAGAGTCCGTGTACGGCAAGTGGGGTTCAATCCAAGGTGGACCATGGACGATCGTGGGGAGCGGACGGGTTTGCAAACTCCCCGAACGACCAGAGGATAACTTTCGCAATCTCGATCTTGTGCCATCACTTTCTACAGAGATCGTTGATTTATAAGTCCGGAGTTCAACGACCGGAAGCAAGGGCGAGGCCAGGGTAAAGACCGGAAGCACCTTTACCCCTCTTCGGACACTGCTCCGATGATTTCATGACTTCCGCATTCGAGATGATCCCCACTTGCGCCCAGGCGCGTTCACCTATTCTTTCAATGGGGTGAATGCTTCAAGTTTGGCTCTGTTGGGGGTACATCACTCAACCGTCGCCAAGGACTCAGTTTTGCACCGGTGAAAGATACATGTAACTGCTGTGTAGTTCCATTGCGAACATACACTCGTACAGACCCAAGGTATCCAGCCAACCCTAACAATGACTTCATTTTGTCGCTAGACGAGTCCTCTTCATAAACTCATGAACACCAATATACGTGGCCGCCCCTTTTGCTCCAATCCAGTGTAAGTCGTGTCGTATGATGTCGTATTTGTACAAGCAATGCAACCCCCCGGGACCATGTCACTTTTAGCATGTCCAGACGCCGACGACACCGTCTTGACGGCCTTCGACCATGTAGCCGTCCCTGATGCGCACGCGTTCGACGATTGCAGGGGACTTGGCCTTCTCAGCCTCAGTGATGCCGGCGCCGCAGTCCCAATGCCGTCCCTCAACCTTGTCGTACACCTTAACCACATCCTCACCAGCAGCGCAAACAATTCGGCGGGTGTCAAACATCATGCTGGTGATAGGGTGATCATATGCGTAGGCGTCGAAGATTGATCCAGTGCGAAGATCCCAAATCTGTAATAAGGAGCAGTGTCAGTGCCACTCGGTTTCGTGGTGTTATGGCGGAATGAGGAGGTTGCTTACACGAATGCTTCTGTCCAAGCTGCCAGTGACGAGATGAACATCATCAAACTGGAGGCAGGTAACCGGGCCGGTATGTCCAACCAGACTACGGTGCACCTGTCCACTTCTAAGATCCCAGAGTCTAACCATACCGTCAGCAGTACCGCAAGCCAGAGCAGACTCAAAGACCTGCAGGGCACCAACGAAGTCTGCGGATCCGTCGGCAGAGCGGCTGGTCTGTCTCCAAGGACCGTCACTGCTGCCCATAGCGGTGGCTTGGGCGGCGGCCCACATCACGTCCAATGTTTGCACGCAACGACCCTTTGTAAGATCCCACTGACGAAGCGTCTTATCGGCGGAGCCAGAAACGAGCACATCTCCCCTGAAATGCAAGGCCGTAATCTCGTCGAGATGGGCCTCGAGAGTGAAAAGAGGGCAATCAGCCATGCTTCCGGCAGGTGGATCGACTGCGTGATCGTTCGGGTTGACAAATGCAAGGTCCTCGTCCTCCTCATCAACCTCCTGGCTACCCTGGGGGTCGTAGTGGGCCTTGCTCAAGTCCCACAGCTTGATTGTCGCATCCATAGAGCCAGTAGCCAAGAAGTTATCTTCAATTTGAAGAGTGCGTACAGATGCCGTGTGACCTTCAAGAGTACCGATGCAGCGCCCGGCGTTCAAGTCCCACACACGAACCGAGTCATCCATTGCAGCCGAAACCATAAGACCAAAGGGAGCATCGAAGTCGAGAGCCGTGATGTTATCCTGGTGCGCGCGCATCGAGCGAATCATCGTGCCTGGCTCGAAATGTTCGTGGAGAATCGGGAGTGTCTTCTTGCGATGGTTGCGAGGCTTCTTCTTTCCGGGAGGAGTGTTGGCTGCTGGTAATTTCTCGTAGATGGATTGCGACATGAATCCTTCTTCAGTTCTTGATAGATCCTCCTCGGACTTGTTCGGTGTCGCCATCGCCAACGATTCCGCCTCATCAGCAAGTTCTTGAGCTTCGTCTAGCCTGCTCTCGACATCCATGACTGCCAGTTGCGGTTAGTAGGAGGCCCCAAGATTAGGTGCACAAACACTTACTGTCATGCTCTAATACTGCCTCCTCTTTTTCAAGATTAGCGAGCCTGTCGAGGATGATCTTGCGCATGCCGTGCAGATTGGCGATTTTGTTATCAATCTCACGGATCTCGCTGCTAGCCATATTCTTCCGAACACCAAGCATTTCAAGTTGGTGCATCATTGACGCCTTATCTTTCTTTAACCTCTGTACCGCGTGCGGGCTTCCTGGTTGCACAGGGCTCTCATCGAGCATCTTCCTCCCCCGAGACACCCGTCGCTTGTGCTTCTTTCCATCATCGGTAAAGTCGGGAAAACTGGCCTGAAAGCCCTGGAATAACGAGTATGAGTTGGAGCTGGCAGGGATGTTTCTGAGAAGCTCATCGGGCACGTAGGCCAGTGCTCGAGATTGAATTTCCTTTGACGACAGCTTGGAGCGCACTAAATCGGTGGGCGTCGTACGCGCTATAGCGAAGACGCCCCGTTGAAGCGTGGGCTTCTGGAGCTGCTTGTGTATCTCGGTCATGGCGGTCTGGTAGTGAGGATGAGAGGTCGGGTCGGTGATGGGGCCGATCAAGTGACTTGCTGTTGTTGTCACTTTGCGACCGAAGGCCTCGAGACCCCGAGTCTGTTGCAGTTCACCCATCTTGCATTAGTTTGGGGTTCTTGGGCTGCGCCAAGCGCAATGCGAAAAGGACTCAAGAGAGGCAGAAGGGTGTCATCATGGTGGTGAACAGAGTGCGGGAGACGAAGGTGAGGAGAGCTCACAGAGATTACGGAGGTATCGTCATCAATCGACACATCGTCCGGGAACACATCACGGTTCTGATCAGAGTTGGCCATCCGTTGGCACCGGGAGGCTGCTACCCAATCGATAGAGGTTCAAAGGAATGCCCAAAAGGTTGTTGCCGCCCGACGAACTACTAAAGCGCAAAGAGGTCGAATAGAAGCAGGACACTTGGACGACGACGCGAGAAAAATCCTGCGAGCGCTACTATCGCTGCCAAATCGCACGACCGGTAATCGAGCGCAGCTGCGGCTAGCGGTAGCGATGCCGAAGCGATGTTGTCAATGCCAGAGTCCGCGGCAGCAACATGTACCCACGGCAGGCTGAATCAATTGCAACTGCGGATGGAGGTTGTAGAGGTTGATAAGGTAAGGTACCTCGCTCCAAGTTCGCGCGCGTGGATGCGGCACAAATTTGTTGTGTGAACCTGGTAAAGCACCGTGGCAGGAATCACTTTAGCTAGTCTGTTAACAGCTACCACCACACGTGCATGGGACACACAGTCTTAAAGGTACCCTCTAAACACACCGGGCCCTTGGTGGTCGGCCTCTGCGGCTGGCAGCAGGCTGGTCGCAGCATGTGGCGGGGATGTGGATTTCCCGACCAGCCGATAGCGCGCCCCCTCAATTCCCATTTCTTCCCCTCACCCCCCCTGGCCCTGGTTCCCCGCACGCAAGTGACGCGCCAATTCAGGCTTGGCTCCATCCAGAAGGGGGTGTAAGAGCAGGGATCCGGTGTCTGCCAAGAGAAACGCTGGGGGGGGCCAGTGGGGTACCGGATCCGCAGTATTGGTGCGTCATATGTACAAATGTACAAATGAACAACCTAAATTTTAACAGGGCCGTTGCAACGTGGGAATCCGATTGTTGTCCGATATCGAAGTTGCGATTGTTTGGTCCCAACTCTGCCGGTTGAGGGTCCTCAGGAGGGACTCAACGCTCACTGTACACAACAACTGCCTCTTGTCTTCTCTGTCAATTGATATCTTACTTGCACATACAACCCAAATCTCTATTCCAAGCGGTTGTTGCATCTACCGCGACACCTCAGCTTTCAAGATGGACGCTATCATCGAACTGTCTGACGTCGACAAGGCGCTTGATCTTTCGCGCATTCGCTACCAGCTAATGTGAGTCAAGAGAGAGCTCAAGCACTGAACGATCACCTCGACAATTCTGGAACCTATGCCAACTGATACGTGTGTCGAACAGCCGTCTGGAGGACACCATCATCTTCCATTTGATCGAGCGTGTTCAATTCCCCCTCAATAAGAACATTTACATCCCTGGTGCCGTCCCGCTCCCCGACACCGACCTCAGCTTGATGGACTGGTACTTGTGGCAGCAGGAGCGTCTCCAGTCCCTCATGCGTCGCTACGAGTCACCCGACGAATACCCTTTCTTCCCCGACGCCGTGCAGAAGCCCATCCTCGAGTCGATCGACTACCCCCAGATCCTCCACCCCAACAACGTCAACGTCAACGATCAGATCAAGGAGTTCTATACGCAAAAATTCCTTCCCAGCGTGTGCCCCGACTTTGGCCGTGAGGATCGTGGTGTCAACAAGGAGAACTACGGTTCCTCTGCTACCTGCGATATCGCCTGCCTGCAGGCCATCTCCCGGCGCATTCACTTTGGCAAATTTGTTGCCGAATCCAAGTTCCAGTCGGAGACGGAAAAGTTCACAAAGTACATCCAGGCCGGTGATCGCGAAGCCATTGGAGAGGCTATCACCAACCAGGCTGTTGAGAAGAAGGTGCTGGAGAGATTGAAGCTTAAGGCGGAAACCTACGGTACCGACCCGTCAATAGGCGCCTCCGAGGCGGAGAGCCAGCGCAAGATTAACGTCGAGGCCGTCGTCGCTATGTACGAGGAGTTCGTGATTCCTCTTACCAAGGTGGTGGAGGTTGAGTACCTCATGCAGAGACTGGAGCCGGCGCCCGCCCAATAGCCATGACGCAAGTAACCGGCAACTAATTAAAACAACAACAAAATCCACAGCACTGCAGGCAGGAACTGACGATGCGTTGAAATTTCCCGTTCACGTTCCCTCATTTCTCGGTGCTTCCATATTCTCGCAATCCATTATGGTAAATTAGTTGGCTGCGCCAATGCAATCCCCGATAGCTTTGACAGCCTGCTTGAACTTGCCCGCCTCAATAAGCATCATGAAACCCTGTGACTTGACGCCCAGCTCCTGGAACGCGCGCTTGCTATCGGCCGAGTCTCCCTCCTTGGTGAACGTGTAGGTGCCCGCGCCGACAGCATGCTTGCGCATCTCGTCGTCCTCCGGGTGGAAGTACTGCAGGCCCTTCTCATCGCGTAGCCGCTTGCGCTTCTGCTCCTCCTGGTCCAAGCTCGACTCGACCTCGACGTACGCGCGCGACACCACCAGGTAGTGCGTAAACTCGTATGGCTCCTTGTCGTCCACGGCGTCCTGGATCTCCTCAATCATCATGTTCCACATGGGTGGGATGACTTCGGCCGGCATGTTGATGAGGCGCTCCGACAGGACGATGCCCACTTGGGCCTTGCCGGAGGTGAACAACTCAGGCAGCACAGACAGGCTGGAATCACCGGCCTTGACGGCCTTGTCGGACAGGTACTCGATCAGCTGCGCGACCGGTTTCTTCTCGCGGTGCTCCCACGCGTTGAGCACGGTCAGGAAGGCGTAGGCGTCGTTGGCCTTGTCGTCCACCTTGCACGTCGAGCCGATGGTGTTCTGCTCAATGATCATGTCGCTGAGCCCGGACAGGTCGAAGAGCTGGGCGTCAGCGTCGAAGAGCTGACGGAGAAGCGTTTTGACGCCGTGGAAGTCGATGTCCTTGTCGTAATTGAACAGCTCGAAGTCGACGTTAATGATGTCCATGTCCTTGTTTCCAACCAATGTTAGTATTATGACTCTCAGCCAGAGAGAGTGTCGACCAAGGTGCAAGAGGTCGGTTTAACAACCGAGCTTGGTACACCAAGGTAAAGTAACTCACCTCATCCGAGTCTGAGCTGTCACTATCCTCATCCATCTTATCGACTGTGGGGTCGTTCTGGACGACCTCCTTCTGGGCTTCCTCTCTTGATCTTTTCTTGCCCATCTTGAATGTGGTCCTTGAATGACTCAATAAAAGTGGTCCTTATTCGACTTGTCAGTAACATATTCCACACATGATTGTGTTCACAGGGCTCCTTACTTGGTGATATGTGGGTGACTTTGAGGTCATCCAGGCCGTCAAGCTCAAAATTTTGTAATGCAGTTGTTTAAGATTGAAATTGATAAGAACCTTATCGCCTACCTGCATATACCCTAACCCTTTCTAGCTTTACATACAACAAAATGGTTGCTAGGACAACCACAATTGCCCAAACTCCAAAAGGGGGGGGGGGGGAGAGGATTTCCAACCATGTTCACCCAGCCCAGTCGATGATCTGCCATTGTGGAAACCTGCCATCGCGAACGATAAATGGAAGATACTTCACCTTCACGGACAGTGCTTGTCCAATGAATCCCAGAAAACTGCAGGCCTGTCATATTCAAAATGCTGATTTAGCAGCACCATTGCTGCCCTCAAACTAAAGTATAAGCTAAATCGTTGATCTTCTTCCACATCCTTGATGTTGTCTGCTGAAAGTCACCACGTACCCCTTTACTTGTGCTGCATTCAACTGGCGCAACATATTCCTCAACATTCTGACACCAGTTGATCACCAGCAGCGCTCCTGAAATAGCTGTCAAACAGACCATCCTCCCGCAACTCTCGCACCCCAAACGTCTCATCTTGGTATGGGTCGACATGACATTGTCGGCGGCCACGGAGCTCTTTTCATGCTTGCATAACCAATCCTAGGCAGGGCATCACTTCTCAAATAGTGACGTGTATCACAAATTACACCTGCTCAGCGCCCCAGCCCGCATCCACCTCGCGCATGTTTGCAGGGGGCTCAATAGAGGGCACAAATTCGAGAGCGACATAGGCAACGCCAACAAGGAAGATGATCGAGCCGATAATGATCGTAGCCCAATGTCCATGGGGGATGATGCAGCCGACGAAGATGTAAACTGTACAAAGAGTAGAACGACGATTAGCTACACTGACTCAGCAATAGCAGCAGAGAGAAAAAGGGGGAGGGGGGGGGGGGCAGGAGGGGGGGCAACAATAACGTACAAGCACCACGACCAAGAAACGAGAACATGAACGACGCATAGCGGTAGACTTGGTGAGGGATTTGGAACTCCAGGAGACCGGTGGCTGTGAAGAACAGTGTCAGCGTTTCGGAAACCATTTGAATGTTTCTGTCGAAGTATGCGACCACTTACAAACACCAAACAGGATCGTGTAGCAACCGAGGATAATTGGTTGACTGTCGACAGTAACTTGGTCAGTTTCACATCCCCATACGATTTCTATCAGCCTCCGCAACAGTCCGGACAAAGCATGCAACACCCTTGTGAGCATAGGCGGGCGCGCACTAGCAGCCGGGACATCCAGGCTTCAGGACCATGATCGATTTCGGCGACCGCCCAAGATTGCTGCGTCCACAATATCCGCTCGTGGAGGGAAGCGCATAACTTTGTACAGTCGGCCGGCTTGCTAACGGGCGTAAGATAAGGAAACGTACATTCCGAGAGGGAAGAACTGGGAGACACCACCCAGGATCATAAGCACTGCAACCGCGAGGTTGACAATGCGACTAGAGAGGAGGACATCATGTTAGCAAGTAGTTCTGAACCTCGAACGGATGCTTGGATGCGCGCAGTATTGGGGGCCAGCAGTCTTGCTTGTTCTCCGCTTTCATCCCTTTCTTTCTTTTCTTTCTCCATAGTCGCACGAGCGGGCGGATGTAAACGTACAAAGAGTCGGAGAGATCCATTATGGCGTTGTTTTAGTAGTGGCTGTGGTGGTGGAGGAGGAATGCGAATACGTCGCAAAGGTTGGTAGAATGTCGCAGGAATAGGTGCGATCTGCTGAGTTCGACGCAGTCTAGAGAGCGATTCGAATTGAGTCTCGGAGGTTTGCGCGAGCGTAGAGATAGATGTGGCCACTTGGTGGTGGTTCTTGACGTAGCAACGAAAGATGTTGTAAGGATGGTGTATTCTAAAGTGTTGCCTGGAACAATCGAAGCTCGAGGTCAGGAAGCTGTGGAGGTTGGCAACCGGTCATAGGTAGCCTCACCTGCACCAGGAGGGTCGGGTGGTCCCTACCTCTACCGGGGTACATTGTCCACTAAACCGGCCCCAAACGCGCGCAACGTGGGAGCTCCGCCCTACGACGCTGATGCAGCGTGCGCGGCCTCTTGTCACTGGCTCCTACGGCATGTCAAGGCAGGGGCTTTCCGTCTGGAACTTTGAAACTTCCATTGCCGCATCACACTTCGCCATTGCAGGGTGTTGCAATTAGGGTACCGTAGAGACTCGGTAAACTGGCAAAACGCTAATGCCCCAAAAACCTCTTTTTGGGGCATAGTACAGGAAGATCTGTACCTACTAGCGCACAAGTCCGAGCCTGTGCTTTGGAACGCAGGCAGGATAGTGTTGGCCAGTACCGCAAAGACTCGGGGCACAGGGTTTTAGGTTCCCTGGATATCAGGCATAATCTGGAAGCATACTGCAACATTCATGCCCACCATAAATCGTATACAAGACGGTAATTTACAATATCTCTACCCTCTAGCGTTTATGAAAAGATAGGTAGGAAACAGCACGAAATTCAAAAAACGAATTTACAATGCTCCTAGGTAGCAATACATCTCCCCCACTATTATTTGCGAACATAAAATGCACATATTCGGGCAGTATACTTACATATCATGCCTGATATCCAGGGAACCTAAAACCCTGTGCCCCGAGTCTTTGCGGTATTGTAGAGCTTTCACTAACTGAGTGGACATATGTACAGAAGTATGCTGCTTCCTGTGCTTACTGTCGGGCGCTCAAAGAGGGATAGCGTTTTGCCAGTTTACCGAGCCTCTACGGTATACAGCCATGAGACGGCTTTTACTATGCAAAACCAAATCCACTGGACGGCATCGATGAATAGACGCATAACCACTATGCGGATTCCATGACTAAAGGTCTCTGGCTCCAACTGTCATTGGGATTTCCTCAAAAAGACTATGCCTTCCGTTGCTATCTATCTATGCACAAGTCAAATTCCATGGGTATGCTCTCCCGAATAACTCCAGTCGTTTCCCCCGAATTCACAGCATGCCGCTTTTTCAGCCTCCGCATATCAATCATAACCCAACTCGGCAAGCTCCCGTTCCTTTGCGGCCAGCAACTCTCTCATCATTTCGGCCTCGCGCTCCAACGCTGCTCTTCGCTCTGCCTTCATCCGCTCGCTATCATTGAGGGTATCTCTCGAAGCGCTCCGCAAAATCGGAGCTGATGTTGGTGTCCCAATAACCGTACTGTTTGAGAATGACCCTGGACTGTGTGCTGGAGTCAGACTGCTCATGGCTGGGGACCGGGAGGCTGGTTGCATCCGTAACTGGTCTGCCGGCGAGACCTCTCGGTGCATCTCGGAACTCGGCATCGGGTTGAGAATGGATTTGATGGAAGACAGGCGCTTATGACTTTCGTTGTCATTGTGAGACGAAGGTTCGTTCTCTACAGCAGATATCGACCGCTTTCTTGATGGGGACAGAAATGATACTGGTGATATGGACGCTTGACGATCAACCGGGAGCGCCAGTGAATGAATGGGAGCCAGTCGATTCTCGTAAGTGAGAGATGCATGAGCCCCGTGGTGTGGTTGATTTGTATGAGATGAGTGGTACTGTCCCAAGGCGGCTGAAGACAGCGGGGATGCCTGTCTGTTTCGCCGCAATTCATCCTCAGGCACGAGCGTCAATGGTCGCACTGAACGTCGACGGATGCCGAGATTAACAGATCCATCTTCGTTGACCGTACCTTTCTCCATCGGAGGTTCTGATGTCGCGGGTGGTGAATCTGGAGCCTCACTTGGCTCAATTTCGGCATCACCTCCGGCGGCAGGAATCACACGTTTTCTCCGTTTGATTATTGCCTTTTTCATGGTCACTGGCCGATGCACACCGTGCAACTTGTAGTAGAGACCTTTACTCGAGTTAGCAAATTCCATCCCATTTGTAACTTTTCGGGCCATAAGTTCATGCACTTACCGCACGCATTGCAAATGGTATGACCGGCTTCATCCCTTCGCCAGAGCGGAGTAATGGTAGTACCGCAGTTTTGGCAAGCAATAACAACGGTTGTGTTTTGCGATTGTACGTGTAAGGCGGTGATGTCCACCTCGGTCGGTTCTTCCCCGCTGCCCTCTGCTGCTTGAGGTTTCTTGGAAGACGCGGCTGCTGCGCCCTGACACTTTAGCACGTTGAGACTCGCACTCTTGGAAACGCGGTTGTTGTATGCGGGGCAACCACCACACCCCTCCGCACCACCTGTGCCGTTGCATCTTCCGCCTCCAGGGCACGATCCTGACGGCGTCTGATCGGCGGCCACATATGTTGCTCCCGGGTTGCTTGGCAGTAACGGTGCGGTTGCTTTTTTGGAGGACAATTTGGCCGCGGCCTGCCTAACATTGCTCGCCATCACGCTGGGAGGGCGCCTGATGTTGGCAGGGCGAGCCGCGTTACGCGCCTTTAGGTACAGTCCGCAAGCGTTGCAAATGATGGCTCCTTGAGGTGATCTTCGCCAAAGAGGAGTATGTGTCGTACCACAATTGCTACTCAGTCGTTAGCGCTAGCCTACAGATCCAGTCATTAGGAAAGGGACATCCATACCTGCAGACTTGACCCGCATGACCCTGAACAGAAGGCACAAGTCCCAGCGTTGCGACGTTCACCACCCCCACGGTCTCGGTTGGAGATTGCGCTGGTTGGGCATTTAAGATTTTTGGAGACTTCTTGCGACCAGACGGACTCTGCGCAGCATGCCCCGCTTTCTTTGAATTCGGCGACAGCCCGGATTCGGACTTGGAGGCCGCCTCGTCAACCGGTCCGGTTGACTCGTGCTTCGAGGGCTCGTTACTTGCGGTCATTGGGGGTGGCCTTGACGGAAGGGCCATACGACCAGGTGCCAAGTTACCTTCGGTGGAAGTTTGGTTGTTCATAAGGCGAGTGTCATCCGGCAATGCCATTCCTTCTCGATGTGTTTGCGTATGGATCTCAACCTAACAATATGTGTGCTCAAGGCTAGTTATCCGTCTTGAGAAGGGACACAATGTGTTTGAAAGCCTGTTGAAAAACAAAAGTGGACGTTGTACGGCGCCGGGAGTCTCGAGGTTGCGCAGGCTGGCTTCAATATCGCTCCGTGATCGTCAAGAGGCGGAAACGGTATCGAGGTCGGCGGTCAAACACATGCCGAGATCGATCGTTGGAGTTGTACTTGGATGGCAAGTAAGCCACCCCAACTTCTGGGCAATATGCGCTAAGGACCAGGCGGGATCCGGGGCCAATACAGAGCGCCGGTACCAGGAGAACAGCACGTGTTGGGTGTCCGAAACAGACGATTGATGGGGTCAAATGGCCAGAGGAAGCGAGTACTACAGACCGCAGCAGGGTGCCGCTGAATCAGAAGTTGGTTATGCTGGAAGAAAAGGCTTGGACGGGGCGCCAGGTTGTGGTACGAGCGGGTTCGCGTTGGTGGCAAGACCTGGACGGTTGTGTACTCCGGTAGAGTGCACGAGGATGGCGAAGTCGGTTGGAATCCGAGGTGGCAGATGGGGAGATGGAGCAAAAGGGTTGGTGGACGGAAAAGGCAAAGCAAAAAAGAGGGCGGGTCTGGGCCAAAGGTTGGTCTTGAGGTTTTCTGTCGTCTTTCTGTCTTTTTGCGTCTTCTAGGTGAGTGGACAGACGAATGTCTGCATATCCTTCCCCCCTTTGCCTCAAGAGTCTCTGTTGTGCTTCTGATTACTACTCCACTGCTCCACAGATCTGTTATCTGATCTACGGATAATCCTGGCGACTAAAGGGCTGAGAGACGGTTGGATACCGTACGCAGGAGGGCTTCACCCAGGGGTTCATGCTAAGTAGTCGTTGCCAAGGACAAACGCGTCTGGAAGGGAGGAAGGTTCGACAGTGTCTTAGCCTGGAGGAGGGCCACAAGAGAACGAAACGGTTTAATTTTACAGTACGACACAGAGAGGATTTGGCACAACAAAAATCAAACCCGTTTTTGTTCGGGAGACCGGATTTGAGATCATGGGACGTGGAATTGGGCTGGCTACAGGATGAAAAAGGTCCTTTCTCAGGTCCAGTGTCACTGGTCGACTTGGGGAGATGCTGCAAGGGAATAAGTGACCCACAAGGTATTCAGATATGTCCAATCACAGATCGCGCAATGTCAGCAGACAAGGCTTAGATGAGAATGACCGGGGTTCCTTATGCGTGTATTGGGTACGGGAACGCAGTGCCGACGGGTTAGTAAGCCGACCAATTTTACATACTCTGTAGACGTAAGTGTACATTTTGACGCAATGCGCCGCCGTCAAGTCTCGCTTACCTACACTATTTAGTCTAGTTCTACATTGGTGTTTCTTTTCAGCCCGTCAGGCTCAGCAGGACATGTCTCACGACTTGAAAATATGGGTTCGGAAATGGTCTTGGTTGCTATGGTAGAAGGTACTTTATTTCATCGCCGGGACAGCACCCAAAAAAACACCGACCATCATTTCCGAAAATCCATCCCGGACCTCAAGTGGTCTGGAAGAGGTCACCTGGAAATTTGGCCCGCCAGGATTACATACCTATTTTGAACCAACCAGTTACCTCTAGCGTACATTCAGACTAGTGGAGTAAACTAAAAGGTACAGGCACTACATACGAAGGAGTAACTCTATTCAGGAATTAGTGTAGTCCGCTTTACTTGAAATTACCAAACCATTTTCCGAACGCCATTTGCAGGTCATGGGATACGTCCTTACGCAATCGCCTACGTTAAACACAACATATCTTTCCATTTGAGCCTGCTCTATCGCGGACATTTACTCATGCCACGGATCGGGAAATCAAAGTCAGTACGATGCAGCCGGTCGCGGTTCTGCGTACTAATTAATGTCGGGCTCGGCGGTTGGATTAATGGAAAGATTCCTGTCTTTATCGCCTCAATCAGACAACCTTGGCGCTCCTCTGATCGGCCCATCGTGCATATTTGTACATCCAGGACGCCATCCATCTCCTCGTAAACTACAACCTTGCCAAGATCGGGACACTCCACGACAGTCCACGATAGTTCAAGGTGGTTAGGCAATATTTTGTAAACAGCAGTGCCGTTTGTTCCTGTGATCGCAAGGAGTTTTCTCTCCGGGTCACGGGTTCGTCGTCACTCATCTACTTGGGCTGCGAAACGTTTGATCTTCCTTCAAAGCTCACTGGGGTTAGCATTGTCACTAGGTACTTACAGCTTTCAGTCAACCTTGCAACCATTCCTCACACGCTCATTCACCCAACCTCAGATATCCTTACAACCCAAGTCTAGTTCTATGTAGTCTAAAGAAAAGAGAAGTCTATTTTTACCCACCCCCTGAGCAACCAGCCCATCAATCACCAACCGGACCCGGACCAAGTGGTTGATCATAAGCTCTGACCGATACTTTAGCTCTTTCTAGTAGCCCACTGTACACTAGTGCACACCGATCACCTCATCCACCCCCGGCAGCCGATGATCTGATAGCGATAGCCCCAGAGTCCCGAAGAACAAAAAAGAAGAAGGAAAAGGAAGAATCATTCCATGATGGGGGACTTCTGTGGACCCCCAATCACCCCATCGATCTATCAAACCCGTACAGCCGCATTACATGCCAAGCATTTTTATCAATTCCCGCATCACGGATCAGTTTATCTGTTGATCCACTTGGTACCATCTCCGAACTCCACTCTCCCTGTGGATTGTTTTCGAACGTTCCATATCCGGAGACCGGAAGCTTTTCGTTGACATTTGACGGAGAAAGATACCACTTTAACCCACGTGCGGATTTTCTGCCCTGCGTGGCTCGGCCAGATCTGATGGATGTTGATCAGCAACTATGTACATAACTAGTGTAGTGTACGTACTTGAACACTAACGAAGGGTCGACGCCCTGTCATGACTCTGTCTTCCTTGACTAGGTAACCAGTCCAGAAACAAAGGTCCTCCGGCCCACTATTCAGTATGATTCGGTTCGTTATGTATTTACACTAGTACCTACAAATGAACCTTTTTCGATATGGAGCTTTTCATCAGCGATGTTCCTTGGTACCCTTCAAAGTTTTTAAAAACACCTCGGCTCGGTGATCAAGGCCCTCAACCAACCGGCAACTTTCCCAATGGGATTAGGAGTACGGCGCATAATCAGCATTGCAGTGATTGGCTTCGTATTTGTTGACGTCTCGTGGACCAATTTTGCAATTCTGCAAGAAAAAAAAAACCGTCAAGGTGCACTACCTAGTATGCATCCAGGATGAGGGTTTTGGAATCACGGAGGAAATCTGCAGCATAGACAGTGTCATGCTCAACCAAGTACTTATGTTGAACCAGTATATGTTTACATGTGCTTTGTGGAACATCGATGTTCAGACTTTAGAAGACTTCTATCGTGAGTTCAAACCCTCACTTGGTACGTAACTTCCTGTAAATTTCCGAATTGAACAAAGCTTTCCAAATAAACACCAACCGTCATTTGGAAAGTTGTGGGGCAATTGTTGTACCTGAACAAATCTTGTTAGATGAGGAACCCATCGAACATAAAGGGATACATTGGCAACAAGCCTCAAGACAATGCCCAACCACATGTCCCCAGCCAACCATCAGTTGATAGAAGTGCCGAAAGGCCACCTTCCTCGGCAATATAAACTTATGACAAGGTTTTGGTGGGTAGTAAACCCAAGAACTGCTTGTAAATTCACGATAGCACAAAGCAGGTATTTGCAAAAAGAGAGATTCTGGGCGCGACAGAACAGCAACAACCGTTAGCAGGGTATCTCCGAAGCAAGCATATTAGATCCCTCCGTTACAAAGAGATGTCCATGAAAAAAAACATGAAGAACTGAAATTGCGGAAACCTTGAATGCCATGGCACCAACGTGAAACCATGATTTTCCCAGCCCGGCATTTCAGAAATCAGGATCCTTCTTGCTTCTATGGCGTCGAGCTTCACCAATGAATCCATGTTTCCGTGCCCTCATCAGTGTATCCCGAGCCATGTGAACGGCGATAGCGACGGTCAGTGAGTTCCACAGCCAAAGCCCTCTTGCGTTGAACTTGACTTCCTCAATCTGCACAACGCCTTGTTCTGGCGATGCAGCATCGTAAGTGGACAGCACGAGGGTGTGTTGAACCACAGTGAAAACAAAGATGGTAGGCGGTTCCGCAACATACTCCCCAGTCTCATCGTCCATGAGCACCTCGCACCAACTCAGGGCAACGTCCTCAACCCGCTTCCTCACACTATCGGAAACCTCATGGGCGAAGTCTTTTCTGCGGGAGTATTCATACTCCAGCACCAGAAGCAGTGGAGGAAACTTGCATTTGTCCAACCCCGCATCTTTCAAAGCCCATTTCCAATAGCGGCTGATGGTTTTTGCGGTATATGGCCCCATAAGTTCACGCTGACCAAGCCTCTCAAAGTCCAAGATGTGCTGGGTGCAAAGGAACACTGCTTCGAGTGCTTTACAGGCTAGAAGAACAGGACAGTCAGCATAAACTATTCAAAGACAGATGTGGAGGTTTGGAATTATACGTACCAGCAAGCTCATTCCCATAGGCCTTGATAATTACCTCCTTCCTGCTGTCCTCTGGCGCAAAGACATGAGTGAGGTTGTCCTCAGCGATGCCCCACATCTTGTAACTCCATCGCCACGAGGCTGGCATCACGGGGTGAAGACCTCTTAAAAAGATGAGTTTGTGAAGATGGCGTTGCTCCTCATTCCAGTCCTCATAGCCCGATACACGCTTTATGACCTTGGCATAATCTTGAAGGTGGAGAGGGACCTCTACATATTCGTCCCAGTTGCTGTTGGTGCTATACGCGGGATTACGGGACGTCTCACGAGTCAAGCGCATGCTGGACATTTGGGTGTGGCCGTTATAATAGCCCTGGTTGTCATCCAGATCGTCATCGTCAGCGCTGTCATCATCGTAATCATCCTCGGTCTCGTTTCCCTCGTTGAAATCGGCCTCATCAGTCTCGGATCCTTTAGTGGAGGGCGATATGGCCACCTCGATGGTGGGGTAAACCAGATCTTTTGGGTTCCTCCGAGGTGTAGTCTGTCTTCCACCAGCAACATAACCTCCACGAAGCTCCAGTTTTGCGCTGCTGTCATCCTCCGTTGTAAAATAGCATTCGGTGAAGTTTGGTGAGCCGACGCCCAGCTGGGCTTCGAGCAGAAACATGTCGACATCACCGTCGGCGTCGGTGATGGTGGGGCTGGGGGTAGCCATCGCAGCAGGTCGCATATTTCTTGCACGTGTTTTGTAAGGCGCATAACGCTGGGCTTCTGACTTTCGAGGTGAGGTTTTCATGTTGAGGGGAAAAACAAGGGAACCCGAACAGAAAAGGAGGAACAATGGGGGGAAGCTCAGATAACGGCAGGCTCTGCGGAACTCTCTGATGAGATGTGAAACGTGGGTGAGGCGAAAAGTGAAGAGAAGATCATGGAGTAAAATCGAAGGGTGTTGAAGCGACCCAAAGTGGAAATGTGAAGGTCAAGTGCTCTTGCAGTTGGTTTCTATGGTCGAAAGACGGCGCTCGACGGGTCGCAGAGCTGGGAGACAGCTGGAGTGTTTCTGGATAGCAAGTTGTGATCAGTCGGCTTTGAAGAGGGGTCCTCCTGTCCCGCCCGGATTGGGAGTTGGAATTTCTTTGTTTCGAAGTCGGGACAATGAAGACAATGATGTAGTCCAGATAGAAGACAGCTTTGGCGGGCAGCCTAAACGAAACCAGGAAGTGAGCTTTGTTTGTCCTTCTTCAGTGACAGTGTCGGGGACAAGTAAGCATGAGGTAAAATAGTTTCCGCAACGCCGACATCGACATCGATGTTGTGCGGCCAAAGCTTGGGTACCACGCATCTAACACCCGATGAGATGTTTTCAGCGCCGCACGTCAAGAGAGGTGTAGGGACGAAAACCACAATTGGTTCAAGTGTTGACAGGATGGCCTCACAACTCCGCTGGAACTCTTGAATTAACGACGTCGGCGCCCAACTCGACCCGTGGCTGACTTTTTCTGGTCGTGGTGTGTGGTCAACGCGGTTCAATGAGAAGGCGCCACCCACTGGTTGCCTGGACAATAGGGAAGTTACGATCGATGCGTGCCAATACTACTTGGTTGCTGTATCCTATTCAACTTCTCCTTCCATCTGGTCAACTTATAAGGCTGCGTGCCTGCCGATTTGGTAGCTCCTTCCATCTCGGCTCGGTTCGTGTCCTGTCCTTCCTGGTCCCAGGTACAACGATACTTCCCAGCATTTGTGATGACGGGACTGGAGGTAACTGCTTGTGTTACCATCCTGATGCCCAACCCTCAAGCGCTGGGATGGGATGAGTTCCGAATATGTCTGAATTGAGGAGCCGTGCATCCACATACGTTCCCAGTTTGAACAATATCTCGAAGGCTCAACTCATCCCTGGCTCGGATGGCTGGACAATGCAGCCGAGTAATGTCCAAGGGTTCCTATGAAAGCGCACAAGGAACACGAGACACCTGACAAAGTTGTCGAGATGTAGTGTTTGCGATTGTTTTGTAATGACCGTTATGGGAAAGTTGAGGGCTCACGTCGTGATATAGACATGCAATGCAGAGTCAATGGTGGTTTCAAGCCGTTGCGCTTCTGTTCGGAAATCCATGATCGACGTCACCGTTGTGGATAATACAGAAAAGCTAAGGAGGTACGTACTGTGGGGCAGTGCTTAGGTAACGAATCGTTACAGGGAAGATGAGTGGGTCTCTTTGTCCCGCTTGCTGTGGGGCGACCACTCATTTTGCGCCTAGCGACGGTGGGGAGTCCGAGCGTCGGGATACCCACCACAGTGGGTGGTGTGGGTGGCTCCAAATGCTGCTTGCTTTTCTTGTCCATTCGCGACGCGCCCCGGACTTTGAAATCTCCAAAAAAAAAAGTCACCGTCCCAAGCTCGCCGCAGGCTTCATTCACTGCAAAGACAGCCAGCCTCACTTAAATTTGATCTCGCGCTGTCGATTAAAATACCCACGAATTACACTAATCACGACCGGATCAATGGTCAACATGACGAGTGACTGGAGCAAGCTCACAGTCGTTGACCTACGTCAAGAGCTCAAGCGCCGCGGGCTCTCTCAGGCTGGGAAGAAGGCCGACCTTGTCGAACGCTTGACTGTCGACGACCAGGAGGCCCAGGTATCTCAACGAGAAGGAGACGCGCCCCCAGAGGCGGAGCAGGAGGAGGACAAAGAACAGGACAACGAAGAGGTCAAGGAACAGAACCAGGAAGCAGAGGCCACCAGCGCACAAGCCGTTGAGACCACAGCCGAAGATGAAACCACAAAGAGCCCCGGCAGCCCTGTCCCGTCGCCGGTGAAAGCTCCTTTGCAAGAACCTCAGCCCGAAGCTCCCTCTGCATCCCCGGCTTCTGGGCCAGTTGCTCCCGAAGAGAAGACGACTATTGCGCATGACGCCACACAAATAGAACCGGACGTCAAACAAGACAAATCAAACGAGCCGACAAGGGAGTCCGCTGCAGAATCTGCGCCCGAAGCAAACAATATTCCTGCGATCAGAAACGACACAACTGAAGAAAAGGAAGAGAAGGTTGAAGAAAGCAACAGCGGATCTGTACCTGTGGCTCCTGAACTCACTAGCGATACGCCTAGCAGAAAGCGCAGATCTCGCAGTCCCCCTCCGGAGGAAGAAATGTCTAGGAAGCGTGCGCGCCCTACCGAGCAAGAAGACGAAGATATACGCATGAGTGGACTTGAAAGCCAAACCGACGAAACCGTGCTACCCCTCGATGACGAGCAGGGTGCCAAAGACGCTTCTTACGCCACAATCCACCCCGAGATTCCCCTCGCAGCCGACTCAGAGAAAGTTTCTGAGATGCACGAAGCGCCACAGCACCGCCAAGCTTCCGAGCCGCGCGAGTTGAACGATGGCGATCAAGAGGAGGAGTCTCGCGACCGTGTACAGACCGAGGCTGACCTCAAGCAACGATCCCCCGAACGGGCAGCGCACGATCGGAGCGCTGTGAAGTACGACGCCGATATGGACATTGACGAGCGAGATGTTGCCCCCTCCGAACACCCTGCGACCCAAGCGCTATACATCAAGAACTTCATGAGACCGCTCCGCTCCGAATTTGTTCGTGAATATCTCCAAGGGCTCGCCGCGCCCCCGGGCAGCCTGCCGGATCCTGACTCCATCCAAGATTTCTACCTCGATCAAATTCGCACCCACGCTTTTGTCAGCTTCACCTCCGTCGCGGCTGCCTCGCGCGTTCGTGTCGCTCTCCACGGAAAGATTTGGCCTAATGAGCGGAATCGAAAGGAGCTGTGGGTAGATTTCATCCCTCCCGACCGGGTGAACGAGTGGGCGGAGACGGAGCAGTCCGAAGGCGGCCGCGGCAATCTCGCCAGGTGGGAAGTTCGCTACGTACGTCACGAAGAGGACGGCAACATCACTGCCCGCCTCGTCAACGCCGAGCTCGAGCCGACGCCAGCCCTTGTAGCCGCTGCTGCTTCCGGTACCCGCGGATCAGTATCCTCCTCAGCACGCGATCCCCTCCCCCCTCCAGCCATCCCCTCCGGCCCCGCCTCGGGCCGCCAGCAACAACATCCCGGCGTCGAAGGCGCGCCCTCAGGCCCCCGTGGCCGTGGCGGCCGCGTGCCCCAGCCCGCACTTACGGGCGACGAGATGAAGGCGACCCGCACCCACCCGTCGCTGCTCTATAGGCCCGTTAATGCCGAGCTTGCGGAGCGCCGTCTGCAAAACATGCGGTCGTTTTACACCCGCGATCGCCATCGCGACATGGGCCGGGAGGACGAGATCAACCGGTACACATTCGAGGACAACGATTCGTTTGTCGATCGCGGAAAGGAGGTGTTTGTTGGGATTAGGCCGCCACATCGCGAGGCGGAGCGTCGTCGTGGTCGCATGGGTGGTGGCGACGGCGGTCGTGGCGGGCCACCTCCCCCTCCTTTTGGCCGGTCCCGTGGTGGTGATCGGTATCTACCCGGTGGTGGTGGAGGACGTGATGAGCCGCCGCCGAGGAGAGGCGGCGGTGGCAGTGGAGATGAACCTAGGTCGAGATTTGACGGCGCGCCATTGCCTACGTTTGGAGGTGGACCTCCTAGGAGACGGAGACGCGGCCATGGTGGTGGTGGTGGTGGTGGAGGTGGCGGTGGGTTCCGTGGTGATCGATACTAGAGGGATCGATACTAGAGGGCCTCCCTACCTGTTAGCCAGTCCTCTGTCTTTCGCCCGGTGTCTTACAAGGAGGAAAAAGAAAAAAGAACAAAGGAGCGGCGTCTGGGACGCTCGGCAGTTAATTTGTTCCAGTACAGACAGTAATGTGGTTCACAGAAGTCGCCTTTTTGATGGTCTTCCTGGCATGTGCATGAAGCAAAAAGTGCTTTCCGTATGGCCTGCAGGACAGGGGGTCAGCATTGCGGGACGGACCCTGATACACAAGAAGTATTCTACACTGTAAAAACATAGAAATGTACGGATAGATAGCAGGATAAGCAGCACATGGAGGGGTTGACGCATCCTTCCAAGTGAGGGTGCGACGGTACCTATACTAGGCGAAGAAGGCTAAGCGAAGAACGGAGACTAAGATTACAGTAAAAAGAAGCATTAGTATACAAAGCATTCCACTTGTTCGCATATGTTTTTGGAGAGTCGTATCCGACGAAGAATAACTACTTTCTGTTCTAAGATACCTGCCATCTACTAAGACGACACTTATGGTACTTGTTTGATAACAGCATAAAATCAAGACCAGGGAAGACCGGGTGTCACAGAACCAGAGGCTGCTTACCAGTCAATGACACCATGTTCCCCGGCAACCAGTGCTTACACAGCACGCTGTCAACATAACCCCTGAATGTTGAAGGGCACCGAATTAGGGGAGGTACTGGACTGGAAGGCATGCGTCAATAACCAGGAACGGATAGATTACAACGACTGGAAGACGTTTGGACGTGATAGCACATGGGTATTATCAACCAGATATTGTCCTTTCTGCGCCATATCAGCCTAATGCCGACTAAACTTATCTGATTTCGCCTTTAGAAGTAGTAACAAAAGATATCATATACACCCTAAACCATTATTAACGAGAGGACGTCGCCCAAGAAAGTCCCTTTTACAAAACCCATATCCTTTATGCTGGAAAGCAATAACCCAAGACCAATGACAAACACCGTTCACTAAGAAAATGCAGACATTCTCGTCGCTTAAGCAGCATTAGAAAGAGGAGTGGGCTCAACGCCGACACGCTCCTTGCTGAGAATGTCAATCATGAACTGAGTAGGCCTGTTGTCACGGTAGACCTGGGAGTTGCTCTTGAAAAGCTCGACGTTCTCCATGTACTTGTCAAAGAGGTAGGAAGAGTCCATGGGACCACCCTTGGCCTCGGGGTGGAACTGGGTAGAGAAGATGGGGCGGGTCTTGTGCATCATACCCTCGTTGGAGCCGTCGTTAAGGTTGACGAAATACTCCTTGAAGTCGCTAGGGAGGGTGCTGATATCGACGGCGTAACCGTGGTTCTGCGAGGTGATGTGACACTGACCAGTGGTCAAGTCAAGCGCCGGGATGTTGTGGGCACGGTTACCATACTTGAGCTTGATGGTCTTGGCACCAACAGCGAGAGCAAGAAGCTGGTGACCAAGGCAAATACCCATGATGGGAATAGGGGAAGTCTCCATAAGCTTGGCGAGGTTGTAAACAGTCTCCTGGCAGTGGGTGGGATCACCAGGGCCGTTGGAAATGAAGACACCATCGAAGTTGTCGGCAACCTTGTGGATGGGGTAGTTGTAGGGGAAGACGGTGACGGAGGCGCCACGGCTGACCAAGCTGCGAAGGATGTTCTCCTTGACACCGCAGTCGATCAGAGCAACGTGGAACTTGGCGTTGGGGTTGGTAACCACGAAGGGAGCCTTGGTGGACACGCGCTTGACAAGGTTGATCTGGCCAGGGTCGATGAAGCCCTCATCCTCATCGGCGTCGTACTCGTCACCAATGGAGATCCTGGCGAGAGAGGAACCCTGCTCACGGAGGTAGGTGACAATCGCACGAGTGTCAACACCGGAGATGGCGGGAATGCCCTCGCTGGCGCACCACTCGCCCAAGCTCTGAACAGCAGTCCAGTGGCTGTATTGGGTAGCGACGTCGGAGACAACGATACCGGCGCACTGGATGTGGGGGGACTCGAAGTACTTGAGGAGGTTGAACTCGTCACGCTCATTCGAAGGGACACCGTAGTTGCCAATCAAGGGCTGGGTGAAGACCAGAATCTGGCCGCGGTACGAGGGATCGGTCATCGACTCGGGGTAACCAACAAGGGAGGTGGTGAAAACGGCTTCACCAGAAATGTTGGTGTTGGCACCGAAGGCGGTACCCTGGAAAACGGGGCCATCCTGAACGAGAAGATGTTAGGTTTAGCCACGAGAGAAGACTAGTTGTAGGTACGCACCCTGATAGTGAAGGTGGCCTCGGCGCCGGTGGCAGCGGCAGTAGTGCGCGGCTCACGGGCGGGCATGTTCCTGCCCTTGCTGCCGGTAATGGCGGGCTGGCTCAGGTTGCGAACCTGACGGGCGGCAACGCCATTGAGGGCAGAAGCCTTGGGGAGACGAGCGGCCAAGCGAGAGAACATCTTGACTTGAATGATGGGGTGCGGTGGTGATTGGTACGGCTGCTGGGTGATGAGAGGCTCTTATGCGTTAAGGGCTCTCCACAGATGGTCTGTAACACACAAAATTCATCGTCAGTATTCCTGCCGGAAAACGGTGAGTCAACGGGAGTCGGCGGAGATGCGGACCTGAGAGATAATCCTAGAAAGGCAACAGAATTAGTTTTAATCAAACACTACAAACAGACGGCAAGCGGCAGAAGCGAGGAGAAGAAGTCTCCCCCAGGATGGCTGTCTGCGCGATCTTGAGAGATATGCAATCGGGATCCGTGAAGAGCTGAACTTTAGGGATCACTGCTGGCCACATCTCCCAAAACCAACTCAAAGCGGCATAACGCCAAGCACCCAGGTTGGTGGGTTGATGGCGGATCGTCCCAACTACTCCGATACAGCATCGCGAGTCAGGCTGGTATGGGGGCTTCATTGCTCATCCGGGGGAACTTCTTTGATGAAACTGGGTGGATGGTGGCTGGATACCAGCACGATGGAGGGGTTATCGCGTTATCGTACCTGAGAGGTGAAGACTGACGGGCGCCCGTTCATAAGGGCAGATTGCGACAAGACAAGTTCAGCTGAAGGAAAAAGGTTGGACGAAAGAGTCCGAAAGTCGGGGGAACCGATTGGGGTTATTGTGTGTTTTGTAGATGGGCAAGAGTTCATGACGGAGTGAGTTGTAGTGTAGAGGGGAGAAACTTGGAGATAAAAGAGGGTGCGAAAGTGGGTGAGGCAAATAGAAAAAGGGCGACATTTGATTGGATCTGGTAGAATTTTTTGAGCTTTTTGTCTTTTTTCTGCCGCAGTGACAGGGTCGGCGCCGACCTGATTGGTCCAGGACTCGGTGACTCCCGCTGCTAGCGAGTCCCAAAGGCCGATTTACGGGGACCGAGGGGTGATTGATCGCGGCGTTGGGATGACTGGGGACCTGGACTTCGTCGGGACGCTGCAAGTTCCACATGCCCTTTGACCATCATCACGGTCGCCACCCCTACTAGTCCCGGAGCCTCACAACTGGAATCACCCATCCGGTGTTCATTCAATATACCTACACATCAGCCCTGGTAAGTTCGTTAGCTTGGTACCTACAGACAGGGGTTTTAAGCAGGGGAGACGGGGAATGTAACAGCCCGCTGAAAGTACCCTATTAATACCCTATGATTATACTGATTATAGAGGGTGTGCCGGGTAATTCTAGTAGTTCTCGTTGGAGGCGAGGGTTTGTGTATGGGTGGTTGAATCCCTCCTATCAACCGATTCTCACTTTGGAATCAGGCCATTTAAACCAATCAGAACTCGTAGGTAGACCAGTCCCGCCCTGCAACCCCCCCTGTTACCCCCTTGTAAGAAGATGTGGAGCGTGTATGGCGCTAACAAACTTTTAAGGACTGATGTGTACTACTACGTACACTACACATATCGCAACCTATGCCCACAACCCCAGCCACGACATTCACAAACAACGCGACTCCAGCTCGGCATCTCCTGCCCGGGGCACCCCCAACGAATCTCGGAGTTGGAGTGGTCGGGTCCCGCAAAGCCCCCGCAAAGTCCCCGCCTACCTACCGCCGCAGATAAAGATGGTGGATACCCCGCGCTTTCGGTGACTCAAGTTGCGGGGACTTGTACAGTCGCGATTCGCCTCGCTTTCAAGCTTCTGAAGCTCCAAACCCAGGTTGCGCCAGAGCCGGCCGTCGTAATCGGCTGCACGAACAACGGAGGTCGTACGCTGACAGAGGAAGGAACAATCAAATATAGCGTCTGGATCGAGCATATACTCTCGGCGACAGCACACCAATTGAAGAGAGGCATCGTCACCACCTTGTCAAGCCACGTAAGTAGCATTTTTGCGGTAGTGGTACCTTACAGCAGCCGAGCACCAGTACGTGGGGGATGACAGGCTCCCACACGTCACATTGCATTTGATACATCGCGTAGCATCTGGATGTTGGGCATTACCACTTCAGACGAATTCAGCTTACTCGGCCGAACACGCAATATTAAAACAGAGACCACCAGAACACCTGGCGAGGTTTTCCATCATTGAAAACCGCAAGACAGGACAAGACACAAAACATAGCTCTTCGTACTGTTGCGCTTGACGCGACACATCTTGCGACGTAGTTGGTGCCAATGTGGCCGGCTCAAGCCTCTTTCATCTCAACCGGCCAGCTTGTCGTAGAAGCATGCATGAATAAGCTGAAGCTCCAGGCCCCGGGCCGTCACGGTCCCCATGAGACGTTGTGACGCCCTTACCGGCTATCAGAAGAGCATGTCCGGTTGCGTTATCCGCAACACAGCTGTAGGGACGTGAATTTCAATCTTTCTATTCCAAAAACAAATGTCTTCGACACAAGATCCTGGAACTCAGTGACTGGTTGGTGTATGACCGGTTTAAAGAGCACCAAGCTCCTTGAGCTTCGAGACCAAGCCATCCACGTCCTCCACTTTGCCACCACCCTGTCTCGGGGGAGGCTCTGAACAACAGAGTTAGCAAACTTCCCTCCAGCTTAAAACGAATTGTAGTCCTTACCGGTGACCTTGATAGTCTTGAGCCTCTTCTCGGCCGTAATACCGTAATCCGCCAGCGTCTTCTTCTCGAGCGGCTTCTTCTTGGCCTTCATGATATTGGGCAAGCTCGCGTACCGGGGCTCGTTGAGGCGTAAGTCGGTCGTGATAACCATGGGCAGCTTGGCCTTGAGCGTCTCGACACCGCCATCCACCTCCCTCGTCACCTGCACGGAATCGCCGCCGGTGAACTCGATCTTGCTCGCCTGGGTGGCCTGCGCCCAGCCCAGCAGACCGGCCAGCATCTGGCCCGTCTGGCCGGCGTCGTCGTCGATGCTCTGCTTGCCCAGGATCACCAGGTTGCTCTTGTTCTGTTCGGTGGCGGCCTTGAGCAGCTTGGCGACGCCCAACGGCTCGAGGTCCTCGCCCTCCTTGGTCTCGACGTGGATGGCCCGGTCGGCGCCCATGGCCATGGCGGTGCGCAGGATGTCCTGGGCCTTGGTCGGCCCGGCGCTGATGACGCAAATGTCCTCGACGGGGGTCTTCTTCCCCTCGCGGATGCGCACGCTCTCTTCGACCGATAGCTCGTCGAAGGGGTTCATGCTGTGCTTGACACCGGCCGTCTCGACGCCCGTCTGGGCCTTGTTGACTCGCGGCTTGACCTGTATTGATTGGGAAGAGTATCCACATCAGTCATCTGTACTCGGGTAGGTATAACAGCATACCATGTAAATGTGCAGCAGGGACTCCATATCAGAAGTGTTGTTTGATGCGTGAACACCCGTTATGTTGTTGCCCTTGACTAGGTGGTAAAAAGGATGGAAGACATACCGCATAGTCAATAACCCGCTTGACGGGCACCAATATCCGTAGGGCTGACATTGTTTTGTGGTATCTGGGGAAAAAGGGTGGGATGAGAGCGGGTGGACTCAATGGCTTGAGCTCTGGTCGCAATCACATCAGTAGGAGGAATGGGGAACGGGGTACGTGAGAATGGGGACGTCAAAGCCGACGGCACGCACACCCATCCCATGATGACGAACCGCCGTGTCCATGCAGCTGGTCCCGCCGGCCAGAACCGACCCAACCTCGGTCATACACTAACCCTAACCCCAACCCCGGCATTGTCACTCTTTTGATCATTCCAAAAGGACGATGTCAACATGTGAATGATAACCTTGTCAGCTTACTGCCATGCACTTGGTCTTATTCTTGGTTCAGTGACTCGACGAATATGAGAAATCGTTGTCAAGTTTGATACTGCTTAGCGCAATGAGCCATCACTTGACCTCACCAATTTCTGTAGACACCTCTCTGATCTCAACGACGGGACCTCGCCGTACACTGGATCCTCCGACGCCGGAGTCGATTCGAAATTATCGATTAGTTTACCTACCCTACCCTGACCCTGACCCTTGCATCTCAACACCCCAAGTCGGTCTCACCTTGGACACAACACCGTTGAACCCCCTTGATCAGCCCAAACGACAATGTACATAAAAGACACAAAAAATAGGCTGTAAATGATTTCATTACCACTATTCCACCTCGCTATTCATCCAATGACGCTACGGGTCAACAAGCCATCTACCAGTCATCCCACTCGTCCTTCTTGGAAGCTGCTGGGGGAGGAGCAGTGGAGCTACCGCTGCTTCCACCCTTGCCCATAACTGCTGTCCCGATCGAGCTACCAGCTGGCTTTCTCTGGTCGGCCGCGCTAGAGAAGTCATCCCAAAACGACCTCTTGCTCTCATCAAAGTTGCTGCCACCACCGCCAGAGGGAACTGACCTATAGCCACCACCAGCGGAGTTGGAAGGTCCTCCCTCGACAAACCGGTTGAAACTCTCTGTCGCGGTTTTGGCGCCAGCCTGTGCTACAGTCTGTGCTGAAACGGCGGCTTGCGCTGCCGCAACACGGGCTTTTGCAGCGAGCTCCGATTCGGCTATCTATATTGGGCGGAAGAAGTCCAAATTAGCAAACATGTATCTCGAAAGTGATTCAAGTAGATTTGTCCTGGGCCAATGCCTGACAGAGGGATGGTTTGTTGAGTGGGGGCCAAGGATACATACTTGCTTAGCTGTAGGCTGGATATAACCCTCATTAACCGTCTTCGCCGTCTGGGTCACTGTCTTGGTAAACCATCCGAACCCTTTACTCAGCGCCGCCACGGGATCCTTTTGCAACTCATCGAGGCCCGGCAAGCTTGCGCTGCCATCATTCTTCGGCTGCGACGACACTGTGTTTCCAAAGCCCTGATACTTTCCTCCCTGGCTAGGCGGCAGATTGTCCGGTCTGCTGGCGTTGGCAGCACCCAGTTTGGCAAAGTACTTGTCGTCCACCTTGATCATCGTTCCCGGCTTGGGGCTGGCCGTCCTACTGCTCGTGCCGCTCAATGGCACCCCACCAGCCACGCTGCTTGGACTCTGACTTGTCTCCTGCTGCTGCTGCTGGGCCAGTGGCTTCTTCTCTCCAGGCACGTACTCCCTCCCCTCAACCTTGGCACTCAGCCTCTCCTTGTATTCTTCGCCAACATCGCCGCTGTACCGCTCCGCAATCGTCGCATCGTCCCAGCTGATTCCGCGCAACTTGGTGTCGGAGTGGTTCTCGAAAAAGGTGCGCCAGGTGTCATTGCCGCCGAGCCGCATGCGCTCGATTTCAGCCTGCTTGAAGGCGTCCATGGAAACCGAGCGTACGAACGAGATGTGCACACCCAGGCCACGATGAACGCCCGCGCACGAGAGGCAGATAAAGATGCCGAACTTTGGTGAACACCATTGCGGGCTTGGGGCACCGCAGTCGCAGCAGATGTTGTTGTTGTTCTCCTTCTGCATCGCAGCGAGCTACAAGGGTCACAAGTCAGCTTGGGAGGTTCCAGTTGGCCCTTTGCGCCGCCACATCGCTTTTCCCCCTTTGGATCGTGCAGCTAATCTCACAAAGACAGCCGATTGAACGGGTTGGACACTTTGGGCGGGTTGGTCGTTCACATACCTTGGACTTCGTCTCCGGGTCTATCTCCCACATCCCTTTGGTAGCCATGGTGGGCAACTTGTACGTGCAATTGTGCGTGAACCGACTGGTTTCGTGATTCCTCGCTGGAACGGCCTACTTGAGAACAGAGTCTCGTCGAAACAAATTGAAATAAGAAGTTCGCCGTCTTTGGATTCCTTGCGCTATGTTGCGTCGCGTGATGTTTCGGATTACAGTAGGGGTTGTCTGGTGGACAATCAGTCAGACAGACAATTGGCGACTAGAATGATGAAGTCGCCCGCGCTATTGCAGGCACCCCCTGCCCTACGCTTCAGCAGTTGGTTTACCTCGGACGGCTACCTTCCTTCGTTTTAGTGGCACCGGAGCGACCAGCCAGGACGGAAACCCGACCCGAAGTGTTGGAAGATCGAGGCATGCTGATCATTCACGTTCCATCTACCCGACGAATTACTACAACTTGAGTTTGGGACTGCATTTTGGATTTGCTAAGATATGATCAGTTACGTGATCAAAGCAACAACCTAACCTAATTGAAATTCACAAGCCAGAAGAGCATTCATCGAGGCCACAGTGCATGGTGCGTGTACACAAGCCAGCTCGTCCGTCCATCCATCCTTCAGGATCCTACCTTCCATTATGTCGACCATTCATACATACCTAGAGGTAAGTAGGCAAGTACCATGTCTTGTGCGAAGGTCCAGACCTGGCCTTCTCTTATCATTCGTCACGCACTGCGAATAAGGATCAGGGGCGTTTCAGGGGACCGCTTGTTAACGGGGAGCTGCCCCTCTCTGGCCTGCAGGAACATCTGCAACTGTCCGTCCCCAACTTTGTCACAACCACCCACCAAGGCACGCAAGGCACGGGCAGTGGATCCATTCCCTCCAACACTACTTCTGCGCCTTACAATTAGGTGATTCCCATGTTGAGGATGACTGGACACGTATCTATCACAAACCACTTTACCCGTTGGCGTTCCCATTGAGCATGACATATCAATGTCTTCTTGTCCCAATCATGCTGATTTTCCTATTCCTAGACCGATTTGACTGACCATCTCCTGCAAACATGAGCGTTTGAAAACACTAAATAAATGTAAGCGACCCTGAGATAAAAGATGATCCATAACACACAAATGAAGAAGAGAAGTCATAAAAATATTAGATTTTTGTTGCCTGCAAAGAGCCGCAGGATAACGATGCCTGAAGTCTACCAGCGATTTGAGGCCTTTGCAACCCCCATAACCCGTGACGCCAGACATGATCACATTATCCCACCGCCCAATCTTCCCGCTTTCATACCCACTTGCAGATCCCGCCATAAAAAGAAAATCATTCGTTCCGTGCCAAAATCGTGAGGGTAAAAATGCATGCGCCCAGTAAAACATAAGACATGTGTCGGTCGAGATTAAAGTAGTGTCTGTGACCGAAATCTTTATTAACTTGTGCGCACACTCATCTCGTCATCAAATGGAGTGTTTAAGCAGAGGCAGTGACAGCAGCGCCAGCCTGCTCGGTAGTGCCGTTGGTGGGGGCCTGGGTCTGGGCCTCGCCCTCGGGTTCGTTGGCATCCTCGTCGGTCTTGTCGGGGCTATCGATGGCGACCTTGACAGCGATCTCGCGGCCCTCAATCTCCTTGCCGTTCATCTCAGCAACAGCCTTCTGCTGGAGCTCCTCCGAGGCAAGGGTAACGAAGCCGAAGCCACGGCCCTTGCGGGGCTCACCCCGGGCCTGAAGCTTCTTAATCATGAAGCGGGGGATGGGGCGAAGAGCAATCTTCGCGGAGGAAGGCTGGTAGGCAGCGAAAAGTTCCTTAAGCTGTGGAAAGAGTTAGCATGTCTCCAGTCATGGCATATGTCGGCAGAAAAACTCACCTTCTCCTCGGTCAGGTCGTAGGGGAGGTTGGCGACCATGACCTTGGTCTTGGAAGGAATACCGTCAGCCGGGGGGCCGCGCTCGCGGCGCTCACGGGGAGAGCGGTTGTGGGGCTTGCCGGCCTTGTTGTCGCTGTTGTGAGTCTCGTTGGTGATGTCCTTCAGAGCCTCGGTAGCAGGGGAAGTGGAGCCCTCGGCACCCTCCTCCTTCTTCTCGCCCTAGGTCGGGATGTCAGTTTCTCTATCCACTTCACAGATGGAGATGTGATGGGAAACTTACACGATCGCCACGAGCGCGTCCGCCACGGCCACGACCGGCGCGGCCGCGGCCACGAGTGGACTGGCGGCGGCGAGTGCCTTCATGGCCCTCACCGTTGGCACCCTCGGCCTTCTCGTTAGACTCGGGCTTGCGAGCGAGCTGGACGGAGACCTTGCGCTCGAGGATCTCCTTGCCGGAGAGCTCAGCGATGGCACGCTCAGCCTCGCTAGGGGTAGAGAGGTCGACGAAGGCGTAGCCGACGGGGCGGTCGGTGCGAGGGTTCTTGGGAATGGAAACAGACTCACTACGCGCAACGAAACTGGTTAGTAACGGACGAGCACACGCAACACGGGACCAAGAAACCGGAATGTTAACCCCACCCTACGGCCCTGCAAGCGGCCCACTCTCACAGCCAGAGGAGCGAGGTGGGTGACGTGACGTCAAAGGGCCAAAGGGCCTAAACAAGGCAACATAATGGAAACGGGAAGGGTGATATGAGGTTTGTGGCGGGCAACTGCTTCCAGCCGCGCAAATACAATCCGAACAAGGCGGGGAAGCGGGATGCAGGGAAACAATGCAAAGGCGGTGAGAGGACAAGGGCAGACAACGACAAAGGGAAAAAGGGTAGGCGGGACGAGCCAAACTTACACAAGGTAGCCCTTGAAGAATTCTTTCAACTCCCCCTCCGTTGTCGCATAGGCAAGATTGCCGATGTAGAGGCGGCGACCTTCGGCAGCGCTGGCAAGGACAGCATCGTTGGCGGCGGGCTTCTCGTCAGCGGACTTGTTGCCAGTCAGAGAGGTGTTGGCCAGAGCGTTGGTAACGTCGTTGACGGCGGCGGCAGCAGCGTCAGTGATTTTCTCCACGACAGCAGACATGGTGATTGATTGTGATGTCGAAAGTTGACTTGGATGGAGTAGGTGATCCACAGGAGGTGACGTGAGCGTTGGACTCGTTTGGATAGGGAGATGAGCGCCTGGGTTGTTGTAAGGACGTTCACGGACGAGAAAGGTTGAACTCTGGGTCTGAGGGGGAGTCAGAAGGGTAGCTTGGTGCCCTAGATAGCTTGAGGGGGGGGTTGGTTGAAGGTGGTTTGAGCGGACTTCAGATTGCTTGAATGGTTGGCGGGAAGAAGAGAGGAAGAAAAAGGAAAGGATCAGGTGTTGGTGAGTCGGCGCGCTCCAAATTTCAAATATTTTTTGCTACCGTTCGGGGAATTAAACGAAAGGCAGGCGTGGCGGCTTTGGCCCAGGGTACGTCCGGTACGTCCCCATAGTACCTACCCTCCACCTGGAGGCAAGGCAAGTTCCAGCTTCCAGTTGTCACTTTTACGCTTCCCAATCGCCGAGGTGGACATGGAACGGACGAGTGCCAACTGGGGTAGGCAGCATGTACCTACCACCCAGCCTGGCCAGTGCCGTGCGGGCAGGTGCAAGCAGCCCGTCCAGAACAGTGCCCCCAGGGTCCGGGTCTTTTAACAACCTGGAAGCCAAACTTCGGGCTTTCAGGCTCAGTCCGTCCGCTCGGGCGTGTGTTTTATACCACCTCTCGGTACCTAGGTATGTACGACCCCTCCGAATCGCACCTTCACTGAACAGAGGGCCGAACCGGACACAGTTACACCTAACCGCTTGAACTGAGGTGCAGCAACCGCACCTCAGCAAGCGTCAAGCGCTGCCCGCTGAAATGAAGGGAGGCGCGGACATAAACCACTGAACATTCGCAAGTGGCAACGACTCAGGGATACGCCATCATCGTCGCAAACGCCAAGGTCTGTCCGCTTGTCCTGCCATTGGGGATCCACCGAAGGGGAAAGGAGCGTGGAGAAGCTCAAGCAACAGGGAAGCACAGTGCGGCGCAGTCAATGCGATGAGGCCAGCATCGATGTGCATCATGGGAGCGGTTGTAAGGTTGGTGATAGAGTCTATCGACTTGAACTTACCTAGGTAAACTTGCCAGAAAGACAGGTACGACGTCGAGTCTTCCACTTGGAGATTTTCCAGTTGTGTCTTGGCCTGGCGGATTCGGAGTCTTCGAGCGCGTTCCGAGTCGATCTTTCCGGGGAAGGCAGTACCGGGATGTTGCGAAGGCTCTCAACTGTCAAAGAGGTGAAAGAACGAACAAGTCTGTCGTGTAACAATTGCTGCTTTCTTTTATAGCTGAACAACTGCTCGTTCTTTCCCTTCACAAGTTTCTGATATGCATGTTACAATAACAACGCTGTCTGCAGCGGATCGCTGCTTAGGTAGGAAAGAGAAAATGGCTTTCCATCTCGAGTGACCTGCGCCATTCACCAGCAGCCTTGCTCACCTACGATCTTTACACATGTCCTTTCAAGTTCTGTAGAAAAACAAAGTGATTCGATCTCGATCGTACGTTGAAGATGGAATCAGGTGAGCGTTTGAGAACGCGACCGACTATTGCCCCAGATCGAAATGTATGTCTATACAATCGATACAAGAAGGAACTGACATATACTTCACCCGGGCGAGGCTATGAGATGGCCTTGCTCTTGTTTTTCAAACAAATGAAGCAAGTTACACTGACTCCACGAACGGTAAAAGAGGTCGACTATATTGTAGTGACATATCGGGCTACAGTTCCCGGTCGGCTGCAAAACGTACTGCATCTTTTCGCGCTTTTTAGAAGCCGACCATCAGAATGTGAGTAAAATCCGACGATTACTCAGCTCTTTTGCATTGTCGACGGTTGCTGGGCGGTGATGCAAACTTATAGAACGTGAATAGGTACTCTCGTCCCGTTTTACCGTGTGCGACACTGTGTCGATTTCCACTGGAGTCCTATCAACTTTCAACTCCACCTAAGCTTCTTGCCCTTTAGGGATCGAAGCAGCTGTCGTTCGGCGAGACAGACGGGAGGCACTCAGCCGCACAAAGAACGTTTGCGCATGCTTTCTCATTGGCTCCTTGAGATAGGAGTGAGGGCGATATCTGTGATCCAATCCATACTTGGATTCTGACGACGGTGAGGTTTGAAACGTCCTTTGGTGGCTCGCCCGGATTATGACACGCTTCGGCGTCGAAAGTGGCTCCCATTTGGTTGCGGAATGACGTGGATGTGGGCATCCGCTTTCTAGACGCTTCCAGGTTCCTAGCGGATGCTTCGTGCTCCACCGTCAAAAACGGGTTGGAGCCGTGCCCCAAAAACATCATCACGATCCTCCACATACTAATAGAGGGGGCCGAGGGGTCTCTGTGAACAGGAAAAAAAAGGGGGGTGGTTTTGGCCAAATACCGACAAGACAGACTACATACAGTACCAACCCAAGGTGTCGGGTTATGCTGGTATTTCCCCTTGTTCGCACAGGTCTACTTGTCCAGGGTTTATTCATGTGTCTAGTGTACATATGGCTGCTTAGGTGCGGAGGCTTCGAGTCATCCCCAGGCTGTCTTTAGGCTTACGCTTGCAAGAGGCAGGGCCGCAGGACCCCTAAATCACTATGCAGGACAAATAGGAGATGAGAAGAAATGGAAAGGGACTTGACGGTTCACCGCCTATGCATCGGGGAAGCTAAGTGCTATATGAATGTTACGTTAACTGGGCGTTACAAAACGCGTGGATAGGGATGGCATCACAAATGAGGAAGTTGATGTTGTTGAACCTCAAGGTTGGCAAGGGTGGGCGGGCGGTCGGTCGGTCGGTGAAAGCTGTTCCTGGGGTTATCTTCCATTTGAGGTTTGAAACAGGCCGAAACTGGCAGTCCGTGCTAGGTGAAAGGCCTCCTAGGTACTGTAGCGTTGCCAGAACTGAACGTCTCGTTTCATGTTCAGAGCAGACTTCAAGTCGAGAGAACTGGCGGAAACTTTTTCACTTGAACCATTCACTGTCCTTCCCGTCGTGCCCTGGCTTTACCCTGCTCCAGGTTTTGGTGGGGGCCGAGATCGGGGCGCCACCTGCGGCCTCCGATAAGTAGTGTAGCCTGCTGTGAGATGCTTCCTTGATACACCAGTGACGACCTTCCCGCCCCACTATCAACTACAATTATTTGCCCATCGACCCAGGCGTCCAGTAAAGTTCGCGACCAATTGCCAATCTACGCAGAAAGACTTTGTCTATCCGAAAGCGCCCCAGCTTCACGGGTGACGTACCCAGGCCTCCGAATCGAGGCAGTCAGTTGCGCACGGGTGGTTCAAGACAATCCACGGGCCCGCGGAGAGAGAGCCCCAGACTAGACCTAGGTTCAAGAGAGCTCGTCGCCCGTCTGTACCCGTGCTTTCCCATCTTCAACACCTCTAGCCTTGGATTTCGCCCCAAAGCCAGCTCTCAATCATTTGGGTACCGCTTGCACGATTTCTGATCGAACGAGGCTGGGTAAGGTACCTTTGAATATTGTACCAGGGAGTGGGCGTGTTTGTCTAAGCTGAGCACGAATTACAACCTTCCCGAGAAACGAACCTGAACAGTTCCCCTTCAGATAACCCTACGATAACCCAGAAGTGAGAGGTGTTCTTGTAACCCTCCCGGTTGTCCCTAGAGGTACCTCAGCTACAGAAACCCACACAGCAGCTGCAGTCTTTAGGTGGTGAACTTCCCCATATTAGTCATACCTAAACAGGTGGTGTCTCGGATATTTACTATCTACGCTAGGCGGCTGGCTGCGCGGTAAAACTGTTGGGACTCACCACACATCCCTGGCCAACAGCCTGCAACACTTGCCAGAACAACGCAGGCAGCACCTAATCTTGTTGAAGAGAAGATTATGGGGGAACCCGTGTTGGCAGCTTCGGTTGCGAAGCCGACCACGATGGAGGGAAGGAATCTCATCCTCCTCTATGGATCTGAAACAGGTAATGGAGAGGAAATCGCCATGGAGCTGGCCAAAATGGCGGAGAGATTACACTTCAATACTGTTGTTGGTGAAATGGATGACTTCAAGTTGGTGCGTTTCGCTGTGCTTTTATCAATGTATCCCATATGCTGATGTTCTCGCTAGACGGACTTGTTGCGCTACTCTCTGGCCATCTTTGTCACCTCTACCACGGGCCAGGGTGATATGCCAAAGAACACAACCACGTTGTGGAAAAGCCTTAGACGTACCAAGCTCAACAATACCAACTGCCTTGCACCTGTAAAGTTCTCCATCTTCGGACTTGGTGATAGCTCTTATCCAAAGTAAGATCACGCTCGTTATCTTCGGACACTCGGAATAAGCGGCACCAGTCATGGCATGAAACCATTATGGTGTTGGGGACTGACTTCTTACTCTTTTAGGTTTAACTGGGCAGCGCGGAAGCTTCGTGTGCGACTTTTGCAACTTGGTGCTTCCGAATTCTTCAGACCGGGCGAAGCTGACGAGCGACATGAAAATGGGCGAGTGAAATTCGAAATCCTCCCCTTGGTCGGCCATCCAGATTATGGCTCTATATAGCTAACACACAACTCGGATTACAGACTCGACAGCATCTATTTGCCCTGGTACCAGGAGTTGAGAGAGTCATTGTTATCTCAATTCCCTCTTCCAAAGGGCATTGAGCCCATACCAGACGACGCTCAACTTCCACCCAAGTACAACATACGGCTTGTGCCGTCAACCGGCTCAGTCAAGGGCAAAATAACGAACGGCGAAGGCCATGTCTCGCAAGTCGAGGACAACGAGCAGTTAGCGGTCAAATTCGAGCGGATGAGTACCGACTCGGAATCAACTGAGGCCCCGTGGCAGAAGGATGGTACTGACGTCCCAGATTTTCCGCCAGCGAAATTGCTGCCAATACCTCGTTCTTTCACGGCACAAGTTGTTTGCAACAAGAGGGTGACTCCAGAAGACCATTGGCAAAACGTCCGACACATCGAATTTGAACTCCGCAGTCCAGGACGCAATGGGGCCATGTCCTTTGCCGGTCAAACACTCTTAATCTACCCTAAGAACTATCCCAAGGACGTACAAAAGCTGATTGACTTGATGGGGTGGAGTGAGGTGGCCGAGCAGAGAATCGAAATTGACTGGGCGAAGGGCACTCGGCCAAGAGACTATCATTTCTTGAAGGATGCAACAATTCGCGATGTCCTGACGCACAATTTCGACATCAGCGCCGTCCCCAAACGGACATTCCTCGAGTTCATGGCCTACCACACCACCAACCCTCTCGAGAAGGAACGTCTTCACGAGCTCACCCAGCGAGGTGACAGCGACGAGTTCTACGATTACACCTCTCGCCCGCGTCGAACCATCCTCGAGGTCCTCGAGGATTTCCCCGGCGTCAAGATCCCCTATACTCGACTGCTCGAGTTTCCCATCATCCGCCCCCGCGAGTTCAGCCTCTGCAATGGTGGCGATCCCACCGTCAACGCCAAGGATCTGGTCATCAACGAACAAGACACTACTACTACCACCGATGTTTACAAGTTTGAAATCCTTGCCGCCCTGGTCCATTACCGTACCATCATCCGCAAACCCCGCCATGGCCTCTGCTCACGCTATCTCCGCCACCTTCCTGTCGGGACCACTGTCCAAATCGGCATCAAGCCGCCCAGCAGTCCCTTCTCCATGGACGACCCGTCCTTCTACTCGCGACCGCTCATCGGCGTCGCCACGGGGACTGGCATCGCTCCGTTTCGCGCTTTGCTTCAGGACCGTTGTCTCGTCCAAGACCAGCAAAAGCTGGGCCCAACCCTCCTCTTCTTCGGCTGCCGCAACGCTGCAGCCGATTTCCACTTCCAGGAGGAATGGGGGACTGTCCCCAATCTAACCGTTTACCCTGCATTCTCCCGGGACAACGACTCGTCCTCTACCGAAGAAGAAGAAACCAAACTTGCCCTCCAACGAGCAGCAGGCATCTACGACGCAGGCAAGAACTACGTCCAGTACCAAATCCGACAGCACGCCGCCGAGGTTGGTGAGTTGTTGAGGCAAAATCCCATCATTGTCGTCTGCGGAAATAGTGGGAGGATGCCCAAGAGCGTGAGGGAGGCGTTGGAGGATGCGGCGGTTGGAAGTGGGGTGGTGGTGGATAGGGAGGAGGCGAAGGGGTGGTTCGATCGGAAGGAGAATTGTGTCTATTGGCAGGAGACTTGGTAGGTTTGAGAGTTGCTGTGTTTGGTGGTTGGCTGGTTGTTTGAGGTTTGGTATGGGATGACATGGGGGAGGTGAGCGCGGAATGGGATGGGAACCCAAAGCGGAGGAGGATGAAGAGGAAAGGACGAAAGCAAGGAAAAGGCGGAGAAAGGAAAGCAGATGAGATGAAGCATATGGCGAAGACGGCTTTTCAAAAGGGGTGGTTGGATTGGTTTAGAGTTATGCACATTCAAACCAAGGCTGGACAGGTACAAGTAGAAAACTAAGCCTGGTTTTTCATCTGAAGTGCTCGCGTCCTCGAGAACATCTTATCACATCACGTCATCAGTGAAGGGATGGAAAAACCCATCGATTTGATCGAGGTTCGCATTTTGCAATGGTAGGTAATTTGAGATTTTTTTTTTTCTAAACGCTAATCTGGTCATCGTTCAACTCTGTCCTCGCACTCTTTCTTGTGCATCAAAACAATCCAGTCCCCCAAAACCATCCCTTTCAGCGTATGTTTTTTTCCTCTCCCGTATCATATCTGATAAGCATGTCCCGTCACCAGCCTCATGGTGGAGACCATGAGTGTTATTTAGGTGACTGTTGCTCCTTGCTCTATCCTAACTCGATGTTTCCAGCTTGAACAAAAACCAAACGTAACCCACCAAAGTAACGCCAAATCTTTCCTTTCGTCAACCAAAAACATAGGACATCGTCGCAAATCCTTCGACGCCCCCTCACTCCAATGGGTATATCCCCCTGTCTCCGTGCCCCTGTGTTCCGTTACCCAAAAACTCCGCCGTCCGGCATGTATATACGATGGTACAGTGTACGAATCCGTTGAAGATGTTGGTTAGTGGGAGCGAGTATGGTGCATGTATGTAATTTCGTTTACAAACATGCTAGTTTCGTGGGTGGAGATCGTAGCTGATGTAAAAGGCCATCAAGTCTCCGCCTCCCAACTATATCGCTGCGCAGCAACCTGCGGGACATGAACTAACTCAGAGCCGGCTTCGATACGTTCCATGCTTCGGGGACTGCGGGGAAAGTTGTCGATGAGGCTGGTAGTATCATCTGCTTCTTGTTCTCGTCGTTGTGGTTGTTGTTGTTGTTGTTGTTGTTGTTGTTGTTGTTGTTGTTGTTGTTGTTGTTGTTGTTGTTGTTGTTGTTGTTGTTGTTGTTGTTGTTGTGGTGGTGGTGGTGGTGGTGGTGGTGGTTGATGTGATGTTGGTGATATCGGCAATGCTTGCTCTTGAGCCGCCGCACTTCGCTGCGCAGCCATCTGCACCTGCATCAACCGGCTTTCTTCCTCCATGGTAAAGTTGGAACCCAAGGTCTCATTAGAACCGCGGGTTACCGAATCTGAACGTCTCCGAAGACCATCGACATCGACATCGACATCTCCTGCAAGTTGGTCGTTTTGTTCCACTGGATGTAGTCGACCGTCGAGCGTGATAATGCGGGTTACTGTCGGGTGATGATGCAGATGATGTGGAATAGGAAGTCGCACGTTTTCCGGCATTGGTCCGAGACAAACTATTTGGGTATGGATGGGATCGATGGGTGTGCGCTGGATTGCTGCGCTTCCGGGCAGTGGGGCCGGTCTACCGGTTGGCGATGTAGGGGATTCTGGACCGCCGTTAAAGTCGGATGAAGGGCTCACGGGTGATGGAAGGTATGTGTGAGGCGAATAAGGGGAGTGCAACGAGACTGGTGAGTGTGCGGGGGCCGGAGCGTCAGAACCTGTCGTCGTTGGAAAATAACGTAGCCGCACGGGAGAGGCTACGGTTATTGGTGATGGCAGATCGAATACTCTACCGCCG